AGTGTATAACATGTAAATCTATTACTGATGTATGATAGGCCTTTTACAGAGGTCCTGTCACGGATGTCCTTAAACAAATTCCCAAGTGCATACAGATCACTTTGGACAGATGCTGGTGTTCCTTCCTGAACTTTGGGTGCTATCTAAGGCCATCCTGCTTACATTCCATTCTCAAAGACAAGAGGTGCTGTGAGTGAGGAGGATAGGCCAAAATCGATGAGTTTCCCTTCTGTTTTAGTGGTGAGGCAATAATTGTTCACTTTGATGTCATTGTGAAGCAATTCTTTGGAATAATAATACGGATGATAAACAGAGGCACTGTGAAATGAAGTCCTGATTTGAGATTTTATAATAATCCTGTTGGTTGAGTATGCATTCAAGTGTGGAGTGTCTGCTGCAATCTATGTGGACGAATCAAAGACATCTGATTTTAATCAAATCTAGGTTACGCATGGCTATGGTTAATCTTTTCAATGTAGTCTGTTGCATTGATCTCCATTTCACAAATTGACATTAAATTGGTTGCGCCAATGCACCAATAGATGTACCAAGATAGTGTGCTGTGACTCAGCGTGACCTATGATGTCATTGTGAAGCAATGTGAAATTAAGTCCTGATTTGAAAGTTTATAATAATCCATGTGTTTGAGTGTGCGTTCAAGTGTGGAGCCTCTGCTGCAATCCATGTGGACGAATTCTGTGATTAGAGTGTTGGCAACTGGGACGGCAATGAACTGCTGAATGTGGTGGATTGGAGATGGAGGAGGTTTACGGCTTCACGATCAGATCATCAAATCATTGGTGTAGTGAAGCCTAATGTTGCTGAAAACATACAAAAATCATTGAAATATGTCCACCAATTAAAAAGAATTAAGAATTAGCCATTCTTTTGAATCAAGTAAAATTAAAATGAATTCAAATGTTGCTTGACCCGCTACACCGATTTTCATGTTGCTTTAGTAACAATAATTATTATCCATTGTGACATCTTATGACAATGAGACTGTTTTATCCAACCCCAAAATTACATTCTCCGTTTACTTTGCAAATTCCCAGAACTTAGTGATCACCCTATTCCTCCTATAAGATTTGTAACATTTATAATATCATCTATTTCTTGGAGTACTATTGCAGCACTTTTACTTTTTATATATCCACATTCATCTTACTCTCTTCTTTTAAATTTCTTTGATTTAAACGTTTGTACATTTGCAATAACTAATAAACAAGCACTTCTTATTTCTTTCCTATCTCAGTAATTTTTTTTTAGATTTAGTAACATCTAGCTGTTATTAGTGTACCAGTGTGACCATTGTTTCATTTTTAGGGCTTTCAGTTAGATGACTCGGCAAATTAAGCCACTGTTTTTTAATTTAAGTGTTAATGTAGGCTCCTTATTCCCAGTCTTCAATGCAAATATCAAAAAAAATGCATTCTGAATTTCTTACTTGAAAAACATGTGAAAAGCTTTAACGTCTGTTGGATGCCTCCGCTCATTTCCAAACATCTGGTCAAGCTATTTGTCTTGTTCCAATTCAGAAACTGCTGACCATTTTAGCTTCACCCAATTGAATATTGAGGGAGAATATGGCAAGGTGCATACATACCATTCCAGAGTCTATGGCCCTTGCATTGCCACCGATTTTGGTGTCAGTTTGCAGAGACAATACCCTTCTTTGTAGGAGTGTCAGTGCGGAAGGCTTGAAACTCATGCCTGGCTGCCTCTTCCCTTGTTCTTGAGGACAAGTTAGTCCACTTCTTACTGAAAAGATTAACCTTAGATTGAAAAAAACAAAAGCTTAGTTCATCTCACCAAAGTCGCTAGTACTTACGTAGAAATGTGAGTTTTTCCAGAAGTTCCAGAAATGTGTTTCAAATTGGAACAGAAGTCTTAGCAACAATCTTAGCAAAGCACCCCTTTCTGGTTTTGGTTACAATGTTGATATTTTTTGCATCTCGATCGTTTTGAAGATTTTGACATATTTATCTTTAAAAGTTTAAACAAATTACCCTTAATTTACCCTTTGTTTTTGAATGACTGTTTACCCTTTGTTTTTGAATGACTGTTTACCCTTTGTTTTTGAATGACTGTATATCAACATCTGTAAAATGATGTAGGTTTGTGTCTTGGCTATTTCTTGAGCAGAGACCTAAATATTTGTAATCATAAATCTGGGTCTGTCGTCATTTTCAACTCGTGTTATAAAATGCCTCTCTGGCCAATTTCTTGGAACACCCCTTGATATTCTAAGCGTAAAGTCATTACTGTGATCATAATGAATAGTATAATGCTGATATTTACAAATTATTATGCACCATTCAAAAGTTTGCGTGAGACCCCCCCCCCCACACGGGAAGGGTGAGGAATTTGATACACAATATTGCCCCCAGGGGTAGGAATTTGATGAAGATGGACGTCCCGGGGATGGGGAATTTGATTTACATGTGCCTGGGAATGGGGACTTTTGACTGAATTTGTTTCGTCCAGTATACACTTTAGGATTCTCGGAATTTGCAAATGTTTGGTAAATTCAGTTAACTAAAGATCGCTCATATCGGGAACAGAAGAAAATAACTCATCTACTCGTTGGGTATAGTTTCAGGGGTGGAATCGCCGTGAATAACTGCTGGAGAGAGAGGAATTCTTGAATACTGAGCAGTGTCTTAATTATTGGTTTGTCAAGCTTGTTTTTGCCCTCCCTTCAGAAAAATGCACTTCCGTGTTCTACTAATATCTATAAACTCGTCATAATTTAATTGATTTAATAGAGATGATTAATTTAATTTAAAATTAATTTTTGAAAATTTTTACATTTGAACAAATTTAAATTTAATTTTATTTGATATAGATGAATAAAACGGAGGGAGGTAACCTATTAAAGTAAAAAGCCATTACCTTAGAATACGTCATTGCATAAATTACATTTTAAAATTTTTAAAATATCTTCAATTAATTTTTGATGTATTCAATAGTACCATTAATCATCCTCTTGATGTCTTCACATATTTGCGAACTGATAAGCGAATGAAAATAATGAAATTAGGGGAGAATATGGCAGTGAATTTTAACTTTGCTTAGTTTGTCTTGATTTATCTAAAAAGTGATTCCTGGAAAATAGTTATGACAGAGTTTAATCATACAAATATTTCATTCTATGAAAGAGGAATTTCTCAAGAAAATAATAAAATATTTGTTTTACATTATATTCATTTGGACATCTACATTTTGGTTCAAAAAGATACACAATTATGTCACCTCATTACACCACCTTGAATGCATGATTCAAAATATATTTTTCCAACAAAAAATCCATTGTCCTTCACTCTAAATGAAAAATTTACTATGTTAAAAATCCAAACTTTTTCCTAGTAAACTGAATAGTTCTGACATGATTTGTGGAGATGAGGACAAAATAAACCTTAACAACCTAAGTGTGGAAAAATCAGTTGAAAAATAATAATATCAATGTGAAAAAAAGATCACATATGATATTATTATACTTTGAGGTTTGATATTTAGGGCGGCACCTCCATTGTAGCCAATATACCTGTTTATGCAGGTCGAAGTCACAGTAATCTTTGACTAAAGTCACATCAGTTTGAATCGTGCTAGTTGTCACATAAGAAAATTATCCATGTCAGTTACTCCAGTCTTAGTCAAATGTGGCATTGTTACATCTGTCTCGGTGTGAACAAATTCCTTTGCATGAGGGCTGAAGGTTATTTACATTTTCCAGATCAGATTTAATGTTATCAAAATGTGGAATGTGAAACTTTTCAATTCAATTTCAAAATTGTGATTTTTTGTTCGAAAAGGTGAACTTATTTTAGATAATCTTTTTTTGTTGTCATCCACATAAGCAGTGATTCACACCAATTCATTTAGATAGCATACATCCTAACCTATTTTATGTTGAAAAAATTAAGAAGATTGTTTGAAGAATAAGAGAAAAATGAACTCAAAGAAAAAGGTAACTTAACCTTTACCATGCTGCCTTATTTCAGCAAATATATCCCACGCAACTGGCTTATTTTTCAAAGAGTGCAAAAAATGATATGCCTGGACTAAATAATTAATATCTCAATAACTACTGAATGAATCTGGATAAAATTTTCACAAAGGGAAGATACAGTGGCCTGGCTCATGAAAAAAATGTTCTCATGAATTTTTTCGTACATTAACACGACTGGGCATAAATATACCATGAATACTCCTCCGGAATCCGCCGCTCCGCCTCTTCGTCTGGTCAGAATCCAAATCTGAATTTGCAGCGATCGAATGTTCAATTTTTCAATTCAGAAAATATTCTAGTTTCTATTTTCGATGACCGTTATCGGCTTCCAAGAGCCTAAAGAGCTCGAAATCGTAATTCATTTCCTCCACATTTTCGTTGTGATCGTATTTGTCCACCATTTTGTACGATTCGTTCACTAAAAACGACCAAAACACTGTTTAAATTGTTGAATTGAGAATTATTTTTCGAAATATCGCCATTTCTAGGTCAACAGGAAGTCATGTTAGGCACTGAATAAATCGGGCAATCTAATTGGACAATACGAATGGCGCGAAAAAGTAAAGTTTTTAAAAGTTTGAAATCGGGCGTACGGGTCCGCCGGCAGTTGTGAGAGATATTTTAGTCTCGGCGGACGAGTCCGCCGGCAGCACGCTAAAGGTTAAAATGTGCATTTGTGTGCAGCCTTTTGGGGAGGAGATACCAGTCCCTCTAATCTGTCATCAGATGATGCCCCATTAATTAATCCCTACTTGGCTTTTACCTGCATCTTGATACCTTTTCCATTTCCATGAAGAGGAACTGAAACACCACACATGATACTTTATAATTACATTTTGTATTAACAATTGTATGGATCCCTTTTTTTAAATCATTTAACTTTTTTAACAACCAGTGTTTTAAGTAATTCTTCTTTGTCAAAAAAACTTGCCAAAACATTATGGAAAGAAAGGAATAAGTAATTAATGAGTTGTTTTCATTGATTTGAATGAATGAAATTGATAAAGCAGCACGTCTGAAGATGTTTTCAGTTGCATCATCCTTTATGTTCCTTATGACCTTGAGTTACCTTAGGTGTTGCCTCATGGATGTGATGATTACAACCACAGGTAAATGTGGAGCCAACTTGTGTAACCATGGAATAACACAAGGTATACTCTTATACTTGTCTGTGCTTTCCAAATTTGGCCTCAAGCTCTTCATTTACCAGGCTCAACTTTTTCGGTATTTTATATTCCTCACATAGATCACGATTTTTTTTTTTGAAAAAACTATATCTATTACAACTTTTAGTCCTTTCCCTTTGGCACTAGTGCTTATATATTTACACCCATCATCTTACAACTGTTCAACACATCCTTTTGAATGTTTGAGTAGATATCTAGAGCAAGTTCATTTCCAAAATAAAACATTGATGGACCTCTCTTACAGACAGACTACCCATAGACTATTCAAAAATGATTTGATTTATGACATGAAATTGGTTAAAATGTATCAATAACGCCCTTGGTTCAGTTGCTAAACTTGAAACAAAAAATCCAGTGTTGGAAATTGCCCCTAGTTTATTTTTGCTAAATTTAATAACAGTATAAGATAGTGATAATAGTATAAGATAAAGTGTTCAAATCGTGGGACAAAGTTATCAAAAACTTGTGTGGGGTACTATTCATTGTTTTTGCTCAAGAAAATAAATTGTTGAAGTAGAAGTCTTGAAGTGGTGCATTTATTGTTACCTCTGCATATCCAATAAGAAATGATGTGAAGAAATTGCAGTGTTTGTGGACCTTCTTCAGGACTCTTTCATCAAGAGTAACAGGATATGTAAAAGATAAAGTTTGCCACAATTTATTGTTATTTTCAACAATATATCTCCACCTTTTGTTTACCAGCAAGATAGTTGTTATGAACATTTGGAGATCCAGATAGCTGAATATTAGCTGATTTATCTCATCAGGGACATTATCTGAAATTTGCAAAAATATAGCCAGATCGTTCAACATATCATATCCATTCGAGGACAAAAATCATATCACTCATAAATCATAGGATATCCTTTATATATTTAATTACTGTTGTTTCAAGAACAAGGAGCTCAAAGTCCTTCCATTTTCCAATATGACAAATATGTTGGTAGTCATGATTCCTCTCTATATATAATAATTACTGTTTCAGGAACAATGGGCTCAAAGTCATATATGTTATATATATCTACAGTATATATATTTTTAATTACTGTTGTTTCAGGAACAGTGAGCTCAAAGTCCTTCATTTTCCAATATGACAAATATGTTGGTGGTCATGATTCCTCTCTAAAAGATCATTGTGCTTGGGTTATATAATTTATACAAACAAAATCACTCTATTGCCATTTCAGAATGGCAGCCTACTTGCCAAAGTGTCGTAAAAAAGTATGCTATGCGCATGAGTTTTCACATATCTTTATCATATGAATATGAGTTTTGACATATCAAATATGAACAAAATCTTTTTCAGTTACAGCAAAAATTCTACAATAGTATGTAACAGTCGCCATTTTTCAAGATGGCCATCAGTTTTTCTGCATTTAAACCATATTGATATTGCAGTTTAATATGTTTCCCTAAAATACTGTAATTGACACTAAAGTTGTGGCCATTTTTGAAAATATACTTTTGATCAGACCTTGTACTCCCATGGGTCATATCAACTTGCAGGTTAAATGATTCACAAAAATATGTTGAGAGTAATTATATTTTTATCAAAGTGATAGTGAAAACATTCTACCACACAATATTTAATACAATATTCTACAATACAATATTGATATCAAATATATTACAATGCAATATTTTGACAGTATACTAGTACACGTATTTTGACTAAAAAAATTTCAAACATTTTCCTTGTGTTATTAGTATGGTGCAAATACTACTCAAAGGCTATTAAGATACCTATTACCCATGGAAATCAATGTAAAGTTAGGTTTAACTCATGATTTTATTTTATTTAGGTATGTTTAAGGAAATAACTTGATCATGAGGTTGAATTTACCAACTTGACCTTTTTGCACCCAGTGACCTCATTGGCTCATCATTTGACCTAATTTTGAAATATTATTGTGAAGCACATTTTTGAGGATACTCTCAATGCAAAGTATGTTTGATTCTGATGGGGGCAGAAAAGGGGGTATTTTGGGACGGTACCTTTTAGGCGTGAATGTACACATGTAAGCCTCATTTAGAATGTGTTGTAGCAACGAGTCATAATTAGCCTAGAATCCAATGCGGAACACTTGTCACCAAATTTTCATTTCTTTATCAATCTATTTAAAATTTGGAGCCCAAATAAACATCACAGTGATACACAATTGTATAATTTCAGATTGATATTCAAATATTTACTGCTGTTGGACATTTCTATTGATTTTTCATATTTGATGCTGAATATATTCTCTTATAACACAATCCCATGCTTATATATTAACACAATACATATTTCACTCTTTTGAACTAGCCTCAAGAATTGATTTTTAATTGTTTTACATTTAACTTCCTAATTTTGTGTTATCATTTAAACAATCTCCATGGATCTGTGTTCTTTCAGCTACCTTCATGAGCACCAGGCCTGTTTTCAAACTTAAAAAGATTGGGAAGCAAGATAGGATCTCAAAGTTTGTGAATGAAGTTGACCAGGGACTGCTTAGTGTCTTTGAGGTCAAAGGTTAGCAGGATCTGAGGGAGTTTGAATGAGTGTTGAATGAATTGGTTGTGAATCAATAAGTTGAATCTCTAGCCTTATTTCTTGTGTCTATGTAGATATTAACAATACTAAAAGTAAATCCAGACGATATCCCCATTCACATTATTTTCTAGATCTTTAGTGATATTCCTCATGTGTCTGTACATTAAAATTTTGGAAAATTAATTTGTGATTTTCAAAGAAACTAACATTATTTTCAAGATTTCTTACCATATTTCTTGTTTATTCCCATTCTAGCTTGTGTACAGAGCTGCAAACTTCAGGTAGATGATAATACCTGTTCGTAAATTTCCCGCATCATCGTTCGCAAATCAAGTGCATTATCAGTATGACGGATGTAGAAAAGAAATTAAAATATTGAGCCGGCATCTGCAAAGGGCAATTATTCAAAATAAGTCAAAAATAATGTGATGTGATATTACAAATATCCTACAAGTTGTGTAGGCTTACACCATGGAACTAATCATTCCTTGGGCTGGGTTTCGATTCCCAAATTACTTGATATACATGTAATATTAAAGGCACAAAGTGAGTAAATGAAGTCTCACTTTTGATCTTCATAGTATTTCCAATGGATTAATAAGTACCTGATCTTTCATTTGACACCAAAAAAGCTCAAACAGACCACATCAGAGTTGACACTTGATCATGACAAAATATTTTTGATCTATCAATTTATATATGTCAAGTTTTTAGCAATGCCATAGAAAGATGGCATTGTTGTTTGCATTAAATTATCAATTCATTTTTGACAGGATTTTCAAGCAGACGCCATCTTTTAATCCAAGAGTTATTTAAAACTTACACTATTTGTGAAAAGTGGTAATTCACTTTTTTCAATCTCTGAACTTCAAATGCTGTTTTTTCACTTCAGTATTATCCCAAATTAAAGCTTTTATCATATTTAATTGACTGTGTGAGTGACATGTCTCAAACAATATTTTGTCCTTTTTCATCCAAAAATAGGCGCATTGCCTGTTTAACATATCACTTTTATTTTGTCTTTTTATATAAGCATATCCATAGTTTAAACTGCATAGTTTTATTAAAATAGTTGAATTATGCTTGAATGAAGTCCAATATATCACCGAGTCTTGAAATATGTAAAATACATGTAAACCACTAAAATCAGATATTGTTATCAATTCAATAATTGCCCTCAATGACCCCAATATGTTTCCCAGGGAATTTCCTCCGGATGGTGCAAAACATTGAACTTGATATTTAAGTGTCATTGGTGTAAATGTGTAATAACACAATTGACTGTTATATTGAAAAGGCAGGGGATCGCATGCAAATCAGAGGGGGCCATGTTCTTTCAATTTTAAATATATTTTGCACAAAATATTTCAGAGATAGCCTATAACTTCAAATAATTTCCATTGATTTTGACTTTTTTCTCATTTAAAAAACGTTGAATACAAGATTTTGGCTCAAAAATTGACAGGGTCTCAGTGCCTGCTTTGTTCCTTGCAATTTTTTTTTCAAAGAATCAATTTACTTGTTGAACTAGAACACCTATTAAAAATTTTGCAATGATTTAAGTACACTTTGTATTCTCCTTTGCCCACAAAAAAACATTGTTTCCTTTAAATGATATATTGAACATGACTATAGTTTTTCACAGCTGATGTTTATCATCAAGATCTCTACAAATGTATTGACATTGACACCTACTATATACAAGTGCATTTACTGCATATATAGGTTCATAAATCAAATATAAATGTGTAAAAACAAACACATTTATTACGTGTTATTTTAATAAAGTGGAATATCAAATGGTTGTAAACAAAAACAAAAGTGTGGAAATCGAATAAAGATGCAGAAAAAATTCCATACAGACACAACCATCACTTCAATTATATTTTCACGAACTGAATGTTTGATAGTGTGAATAGATTATATTCCTTTGGTACAACATTTAAACAAAGTGTCTTTCTACTGATCATACAGTATATAAATAGTTAAATATGCCGGGTGACCAGGTACCTAATGTTCCTACCAGGGTTGTGAATTTGACTTTTTTATTTATCATTTTTATGCCTCACGCCCAATTCACCTCCAACTCAACATACCAGTCATGAAACCAATCAAGCAAACAACCAACCAAGCAACCAACTAATCTTCCAATAAACCAACCGCTAAAACAGACAAACGCTGATATTCTGTCAATCACTAGAAGGCAATAAACGTTGTATTGTACATCGTACGTTAATTGACAGTTTAAAATGGAAAATAACATTTCAATTTACTTGTCCGTAATATATTGTCGCGCGCCAGATCGCCGCCGAGGACCCATATGCTCCCTCGGAGAAGACCTGGTTGCTATTGAGGGGATGCGGAGATGTTATTCACGGGCACCGAGCTGATTTGGTGCTTTGGCTGACACTGAGGCTAAGAAGATGGCTTTTACATGTACAAACAGTGTTATACGGGATTTTTATATTCTATTTCAACACAAATAAAACACAGTAAATTACAAAATGTCTTTCATGCCTTTATGGCTCACAAATATTAAAATGTCTCTAGTCTATGAACAACTTTCTCTGTAGTAAATGAATAAACGCAAGGAGAAAATGCGCCTGGAACTCGCAATCTCGTGGTTATGGCCCCAATCGCCTAACCTAAACGTGCTGGCACCCAAGCCCTCTCGGCCAACTCGACAATCCCAAAAAAGGTTGTTTTGTTAGTCGATCTGACTAGAGGCAGCTGATGTTAACGATCGGACAGACCTGAGGAAGCACCCTACCCTTTTTTCCCTTTGGCACTTGTGCTTATATATTTCTAAATACACACACGTCGCTCGACTGTCCTTAAGAACCCAGAGCGGGTTAATACCTCTGCAACTGAAAGCTCAGACAGTGGTCATAAATGAATAAACGCAAGGAGCACACACGTCTCAAACTCACAACCTCGTGGTTACGGCCCCAATCGCCTAGCCTAAACATGCTGGCACTCAAGCCCTCTCGGCCAACTGGACAACCCCAAAAAAGGTTGTTTTGTTAGTCGATCTGACTAGAGGCAGCTGATGTTAACGCTCAAACACACCAGAGGAAGCACCCTACCCTTTTTTCCCTTTGGCACTTGTGCTTATATATTTCTAAATACACATGTCGCTCGACTGTCCTTAAGAACCCAGAGCGGGTTAAAATTCTTCTGTATGGATCTTCTCGTCACTGTGATAAACCTCTACTCTCACTTCTATTCTCCGAGAAATCTCTCTCTCATAGGTTCCAATAATCACCTCTTCACCACAATGAATCTCCGTTTCGAGGTTTAGCAACTCTGGAATGTCAATCATATCTCGGATCAGGTCTTAAGGCTCTAGAAGTTCTTACTCCTACTGGAGCAACACTTCTCTCTTCACTTCGGGTACACGCAAAGTCGTCTTCACTATCCTCGTCCTTCAATTGTGAGACCTCTGCTCGGAGTTGAGTATCTCAGAAATGTCAATCCCTAGGGAGATTAGACCAGAGTCACACATCTCTTGGTTTCAGCTTCAAGAGTCGCCTAATTATGGAAGTAAACACTACTCTACACTGTCTCTTGGAAGTGGTCCAGGCTCTGGAGCAACCTATGCTCGGGAGTGCTTTAACTCGGGAGCTACACTGCCTCTCGGAAGGGGTTCAGACTCCGGGAGACACCTCTGTCCAGGGAGTCGTCACTTCTCAGAATAAACCACGTAAACTCTGTCTCTTGGAATGGGTCCAGGATCTGGAGCAACCTCTACTCTTGAACGAGTTCCAACTGCTGGGAGTTATAACACACACCTTCTGGAGTATCTCTCTCTGAGATATAAACACACACCCTCTGGAGTATCGCTGCTCAGAGACATAAACCTAAATCCCCAGGGAGATTAGACCAGAGTTGAATATCTCCCGGAAGTAATCCAAGATGGTAGATCAAGGGGAATGCTGGGTAGAAGAAGGGTGACGTCACAAGATGGCTGCTCAACACTTTATGATCAAATATGGCGATCACACAGACAATAACTTGGACAAAGAATATCGGACATGAAGGACTTCTGGACTACAGAAAATGTCTTTAACAATTGGAAATGTCAATCACCAGCTGAGATCCAACGTAATAGACAATAAAAAAAACTCTAGGGACATCAAAGTCAATGTAGTAAATTACTACTCAACAACACTTCTCCACACAATCAGCGACAAATATACTCCAAAAAACACTTTATACTATACACAAATCCTATCGCTACATGATCATCAACAGCTCCTTGTATTCTATTCAATACACACCAACAAAATCATCCAGTAAAATCCTTCCCAAATGTGTCTGCTAAGTTCCAATATTCACCCAGCGCGAGGTAATGTCCATTCAACTTCCCAAAATCAACTGCGCACATGGGACCAGATTCTATGCTATCACCTCCGTCTGATGATATGCAGCGGGAAACCCTCTGATTGGCTGAACTAGTTTGTTAATCCCATTTGGTGTTGCATTCTGGGTAACTTGCCTCTTACTGTCTGGCAAACAATTCTCATTGCAAGGGTTCCCCCACCAGAATAATTGTCGTTATGCTCTAACGTATATATAGTGTGTATTTTTCACTTCCTTGTATCAAGGTGACTTATATGTTTGAACTGTTCATTGCTTCCACAGGCCTTTTCCACTCTTATTTATGCCTCAATGTAAACATTATCACAAGGGGCACAGTTAAGTGATAAAATTAGTGTCGGCCAGGCCTCAAGAAGTTGAACAAAAAATATAGCACATGATTAGGGCAGCCATTTTGTATGTTTGACTATACTAGCGCTGTATAGATTCAAAGTGGATTATGAATTTAACCTACCTAGATGTCAAAATATGGGTGTCTGAAGGGTTAGAAGGAGCATTACGCCTGCTCATTTAAAATTTTGAATAATTGACTTAACACAAGGATATCATTATATTGATATATGATGATATCCCCATGTTAAATCAATCGATCCAAATAAGAAAATAAAAACAAAAATTGTGAAAGGTACCGTCCCAACAGACCCCCTTTTCTGCCCCCATCAGAATCAAATTTATTTTGCATCTAGAGTATCCTCACAAATGTACTTCACAATAATATTTCAAAATTAGGTCAAATGATGAGCCAATGAGGTCACTGGGTGCAAAAAGGTCAAGTTGGTAAAATCAATCTAATGATCAAGTAATTTCCTTAAACATACCTAAATAAAATAAAATCATAAGTTAAACCTGACTTTACATTTATTTCCATGGGGAATAGGTATCTTAATAGCCTTTGAGTAGTATTTACACCATACTTAACACAAAGAAAATGTTTTAGTCAAAATACATGTACTGGTATACTGTCAAAATATTGTATTTTAATATATTTGATATTAATATTCTAAAGCTTTGATACAACATATTAGTATTTATTGAATTACTCTGGGTACCAATATGTACAATTGCTGAAAGTTAAATGTACAGTTTCTAAGGGGTCGGGTCAAAATATTGATGTCCATCAAGAAAACGTAATTAATTTATTTAGGTCTAAACCACCCCCCCCCCCCTTCCCCTTGTAACAAAACCAAAAATCTTGAAAATTGAAATTCTGATCCTAGGAAAACGAAAATCGATGTCCGTCACCTAATGAAATCAGTGTTTGACCCCCTCCCCTAATGAAATTAATTACGTTTTTCGATTGACATCGATATTTTGACCAAACCACTAACAGATATTTTAGTTATTTTAAAACTATTCCATGTCAGTATCACTATCCTCGGATAAAGGCAAGTCTTTGGCATCATGGAGAGAGTCACCTAGGAAATCTTTTGAAAATTGATAGCCTTCATGTCTGGCAACTCCCAAATAGGTGGCACTGTATCCAAAATGGTGGCAGAAATGTTTTAGAAAAAATACCAAAGAAGTCCAAAAAACTTTATGAGCTATGTTCTCCACCACTTTTTTTGCAACTGAAAATGTTGCCTAATTCAATTTTAGATCTGCACAGCTAAAAATAAAAGTGGTGGAGAACATAGCTCACAGTGAATTTGTCCATTCAATGAACCATGGTTCTATTCAATTGAGAAGGGTAAATAATGGGGGTCTGGATTATAATCCCTTTTTATGCCACATATCATGCATCATCACACATAAATCTGCTGGATACATTTCAGTAGGGATTACATTATGCATAATTCACTTAAATAATGCTTGAAAATTATTTGTAAGGCTTTACATTTTCTAAAGAACACTAAATTTCACAAATAATCTGCCATGATGGGAGTGGTTACAGAAATCATATTTTTTACAAAAATATTCACTATATTTTTCAAGAAAATGAAAATACACATATCAGTCGAGAATATTTTGAACTTTTTTTTTCAAAAATCTATAATTGCGTTTTCATGAAATTTTCTAAGTTCTTAAAGGGATCCCAATAAGACTGTATCTTTGGAAGTTTGACCTACTTTCGATAGTTCAAAGGTTAAGGTCAAAATTGTTCTTAACAACATTCTTTATCATATTTTAGATTTTATAAATGATGATTTTGCACACAATAATGGTTGATTTGCAGGTATGCACCGACTTGACCTTAAAAAGGTCACGATGACCTCAATTACACCTAGGATGTACCTGAACAATATGCAATAATTAGCTTCTTACAAAATACAATATTATATGTCATAATGGTTATGAATGCTCTGGGGGCACTTTTTATATACTTATAGTGACGGATCCTTTGAATATCGAAGTAACTGTTTTAAGAACTGGATATGTATTCAATACTGCAATTTGTGACGTTGCAAACAGGCATATTAGGAAAATAAGGTAGGAATATGATTCAATTATAAATTATATCAAAGAGAGATTTAGATCTAGCGAACAAGCTGCATTAACAAAAATAGTTTCAATTCAAGAATATATTTGACTCAAATCATTTATTGTCATGTTTATTTTTTGAAATCCCCAAAGTTTATTCAAGGCAAACTAAAGATTTTTACAATAATGTATTATTTTCCTCTTCTCATGGTTACTATTTTTGGGAGAATTTGAATACTTTTACCGTTTTAGCACTCTCAATCCTTCTGATAACTTCATCATTTTTTTTATTATAACATATTGCAGATATTTTGGATATACTGTATTTGAGATTATACGGAAATCATATCTCTACGGGTCCGTAACTTTACGGAGTTTGGAGAAATAGACCCCTGGGGGTCATTACAGAAACTTAGTAAAGTTACAAATTTGTAAATCAATTGTAACCATGGATATAATGACGTCACAGTTAGAGAACAATGGGTTTTACGAATTCTTAACTTTATGAAGCTTCTGTTGATGGCAAAGGCAAATGGTAACCAGCCACTTTTACATGCTTCTTACAGTTTTGTTTTCCCCTATAAATCTGATTCTGTCTTCAATTTTTTATTTACATGAATATGAGAAATGAATATTTGACATGAAATAAAGACCGAAATTCTTTGATTTATCATGGAATATAAAACCGCAGTTTTTTCTGGTATGAATTTTTCAACCTAAAAACGTTAATAAATGTTGGTCAGTTTTGAGTCTTTTGGCTGTTCAAGTAAAATACTTTATCATTTCTGATTTTTAGAATGTCGAAGTTAAGAACAATCTTTGTTGTGGCTGTGATCTTACTAGCACTGACAATATGTAACCAAATGGTTTGTACATAATTTTTATTTCTGCTCATCTAGGTTTTCTATGGATTACTTGTTGGGGATCGAAAATCGCGATTTTGCCTTTGCTAATTGAGGAATGTCAAAATAAAAAAAATGAAGGCATTTCTCTGCAATGTCAGTCAATGTCAAAGTTGATAGTACTGTATATGCTTAACAGGTGAAAAGGGAGAAATTGAGTTCATTAGTTCATGGTATAGTCAATGGTAGACTCCATAATGTCAGGAATAAAACAAACGTATATATTAATTTTCACTTGTACTTTTATACATTTTATAAAATGCGGACCGTTAATCTACATACATACTATAAATTAGATTAGCATTACAGATTGTAAAACGCAAAAATGAATTATAATTTCGACGTAAATGTCTGCATCCTATTAGTGTAACTACATAACGTCCCATTATTTCCACATTGTTATAACTCAATTTTACAGGTTTTGAGATAAGTGTACTATCTTTCTCAATTTTTCACGAGGAATTCATTTCTGAGGTCCATTTAAATGGATCTCATCTCCTTTTGAAGATATCCAGTGCCACATTGTTATAAGTGAAAAAAAATTGGGGAAAAAAGTTATGGCCACCTTGTCATATCCGTTTGGGTAGGCAGCAGAGCCAATCAGATACATAATTTTGATCATGTGACGAATAGTTATAACAATGTGACGAATAGTTATAACAATGTGGAAATAATGGCATGATCTCTTACTAGTATACTTTGCAGGTAATTAACAAAGGAGATCATAAATCATTACACCATACATGTAGTACAAACAAAAGAAAGCAGATTTGACATTATTTGTAACAAAAAAAAGTTCATTCAGTGAACTTAATCAATTACTGACCCTGTTATAGCCTTTTTACCTTTGTCATGTACCTTTTCATGGGCTTTCAAGAAAGCCCATGACCTTTTAAAGATCGGGTTTGTGTAAAAAACCGGGTGACCGGGTACTTAACGTTCCTAGCAGGGTTAGGATTTTTTTTTATTTATAACATTGGATCTGGACGATAGATGTACGTTATTTTCACGTTTTCACGTTTTGAGGTTATTTTTGGAAGAACATTTTGACAACGTTAACTTTTAACGTTAAAATAACGTCGGTAATGAACCGATTTAGTGAGAACATATTGACGTCTTTGTAACGTTTCCTTAACTCACAAATAATTTGAAGCCATTTCCACAATGTTGAAATTCAGCCACCCATCAACATTTTGCTGATTATTTAAATAACGTCAGATCAATATGGTCCATGAATGTCATTATTGACGTCACGTTTTGAGGTTATTTCAAATCGAAAAAACGTTTTGACAACGTTAAATTTTAACGTTAACAGTATGTTGGAAATGAACCGACTTAGTGAGAACACAAAGTTTTTGTCATGTTTTTTTCCACCAACAAATATTTTGATATTAAAAACCTGTTTTGACAACGTTGAATTCTAACGTTTGAGATACGTCACATATGGACCAATGAAGTAAAAAATCAAACGTTCCTGTTTGTTATGTTTTCCCCACTAACGAATTGACTTTACGGACACGTTACAACAACATTCTTTTTATACCATCAATAGATGCCTCATGTTTTCGTTGCCTCGATGTGTAAAGAACGAAAATGTGCAGCATCTTCTAGGAACTTATATGCTACCTATGAGCAACGTGACATGGATGTTACTGTTTGCTGGATCGATTATTCTAAAAAGTGCTCTGTCTTGTATATAAAAATATCTAACAGCAGTGCACTCGGTAGGCTAAGTGTCAAGTCAATACGCTACTATGTATCAGGGGAAATGTGGAACTTTAAAAGTTGGTAACCCTGCTAGGAACGTTAGGTACCCGGTCGACCGGGTACCCGGTTACTCAGTCACCCGGTTTTTTACACAAACCCTTAAAGATCTGGTGGATTATCCAAAATATTTACAATTGTTCGCAGTTAAGTTGTGTAGTTATGGCAACCACTTGACCAATCATGATCAAACTTGTCATAGCAACTAATTATATATAGATACATAATCCCTAGAAATATGAATGTGATTAAAGGTATATAAAAGAAATTATTGATAATTATCTTAGTACCCCCTCATAAAAATAGCCAGGGGGTATAAGTGACAATAATTCGCAGATGCTGAAAAACTAGACCCTATTATTTTCAAAATCAATGGAAAACGATATATTTCACATAATTAACATAATTAGAAAAATGCGATCCTGTAAGAGTAGTGATACTCAGTGATTCTGACCGTACAAAGGTATAAGGGAAGTCGCCATCTTGTGAGGTAAACCGCCATCTTGGTTCCAAAGTACATAGTTACAAGGTATTTATAAGGTAACTCATTCTCAAATAAGGTAGCCTGCCATCTTGGCTCCAAAATACCATTTCAGCAGGAACATATTTTGGCAACACTAGATTCTGATGGATGTTATTGACGTAGGAAACAATGCATGGGTCCATACACCGTGATATAGACCTGGTACTAATCACGCTTATTTCTCTTTGTAAAAGTATATACTCTGATGAATCGTCAGACTTTATTTGACTTATACCTCAGATAAACACTGTCAATTTTCCTTGTAAAAGTATAATAGGATTACTCTGATGAATGCCACAGCTTTGAATGACTTATTCCTTAAATAAATACAGACAAAGACCAGTATAGTTAAAATCACTTTGTTAAAGATCCCTGATTGAAACAAAGGAAGTTTCGATAAAATATACATGGACTTAATGCAGTCAAGTAACTAACAAAGCACTATTTACTTTGGAACTGTAAAAACATCCCCGATCGCAAAAACATGCAGGCTGTAACCAAACAGAATATGAATTGTTCAAGCTAATATAATTTTACAATATTGTTAAATATTAAAAACCCATACAAAAGGGCGCTTAACGTGGCTCTTTTGACCTTTTACACAAAGAGCAAACGAATGCATAGTCGATAATCTAGTCTAATCTTTTTTATTTGAATATCTACATTATATACAATCAGAATGCAAATAGTTTAATCATGAATTGTATGTCATTTATTCACTTTCCGAATTGTAACGGTCTGATTTACACATTATTAATGATTAGGGTTAATACGGTTACGACGGAATGTTCGAACATAAAGCCCGTTGTATTGATCACATTGTTGAGCGTTAAACTATAAGTAATCCAATATGGGAATTGTAAAGTAAATTAGCCCAAGTTGTGATCACAAACCAGTTTCCCACTTTGGAAAAGACGAGCTCAATGATACATGCAACTCGAATGCGAGATACGCACTATTCGGAAATATGATAGACCAATAGCATCTAAGCAAGCATAAGAAACTGCAAAATGATTGGTCAAACGCTGTTTACCACAGTTGTGAAAGGGACCGCAGAAGGCGGGATTTATGATAATTTATCATCAGACGATATCTGGAGGCACGACTGCAAGGTAGGGCTATGCATATTTCCTGTTCCTAGACTGGAAGTGACACCATATAAGACTTCCTCAACGACGATAGACAGCAATGAGCAACCTAAGATAAAGGATTCGTAAGCTGTGACTGACTACAGCAGTCCGTTGGGGTGCCATAGCAGCTGGAAGTCGCTGATCGAAGAAACTATCACCGTGGGATTTCAACACACAGTCAGCCAAGTTCCCTGCCATCTCCAGCAGAACTTTCCATGCCCACTTGAAGGACAATTTCCCACAACCAAGTGTCTTATATCGTCTCGCATAGCTTTTATGATATTTTAATAGACATTTCTGTAGTTCTAGTTATATAGACATTTTAAATAGACATTTTTATATTTCCGTAATACTATAACTAGTTCAAATATCATAATCAGTGCAATTACAAGTTCGTGTTTTATTTGTGTTTTATGTTCTGTTTTATATTAAATTAAATAAACAATTGTACATGTTTATATATTTTACATCACTTGTCGTGTTGCATGTTGTATTTGATCTCCATTGGTTGATTCTTCATCTGTAAATAATTCTCCAGCTATGTAGAAATATTTGTTCAATGTTTTCTTGATCGCTCTAGATTGAGACATGCCTTTCGCCATACGTGTCTCTATTTCATTCATGATATCTCTATGAACCTCACTGTACCCAAGTCCCACAATATATCCCAATAGTTCTCATAAGTGCTTCAAGAATCACTGTCTAGCACCAAATACAGATTTCTGTCTTGCTTTTTCCACGGCACCTTTATCTGACATTCCTTTATTGTTATACTTCTCAACAAGCTCGTCTAAATCATTTTTCATCTCATCAATAATTTTATTTTTGATATGGTTTAAGGTTGCATTTTCATTGAGATCTTCGGTGTGAAAATCAGCTCTCTTGGGATTGTCATTAATATCCTGCAACTCGGGACAATGTTTCATGTGATCCCTTATGTCAAGCGGTGACATCATCATGACCCCTTACTCTGCACAGTACTTGATATCTCATCACCAGGTATTGTAGATAAGTCGTTCCTGGAGTAGCGCCTGCTTTGATTTATTATGAGGTCTGTGCTTTGATTCATTTTCTGACCCATGCTTTGGTTCATTGTGCATTCCATTCTTGAATCTGCAGCGGGTGTTGTATTTGTGTTGGGGTATGTCAACTTGTTACTATACTCTGGTCCTTGACACTGGTTAACCCATCATATCTACTTATGTCCACGCTACTGCCAGATTTTAACATGCTGTAAGACTACCCATTTGTGATTGGTTCCCTTCCATTAGGGAAGGATCGCCAACCATTGAGAATGAGGGTTGCTCCGAAGGCCTTGTAGCGTCATGTAACCTCATATTATCCGGGGTCTCCTGCTTCAAATCGATCAGTAGATGTCCATATGGTTGTTGGGTAGCTCTCTCGTATGCGTCCAATAATTTTTTTGACTTTCCAGGATACATATGATGGGCTAATACTGACACTTGTTGGCGATCTCTCGGATTTTTATACAGCACTAGGTAATGACAATTTAAACTCATTTTTCTGCTTTCACGATCATGATGGAACACGTTCTGCATTAGACAGATAACACTCAGATTTCTATGATCATCCAGAAAGTCTTGATCATTTAATGACTCTGATATTCCCATGATTAATTCTATGCTGGGATATTGAGCTTTAATTTCTAATGTGGGCTTTTCGTCAGGAAAGATCTTCTCTGACTGTAATAAATAAAGGTCAAGGGGATGCCATTTGTACTTTCTTGAATTGTAGCATGTTTAGTTGATCCAAATGTGTTTGTCTAGAAGTTGATGGGGCTTTTCTATATCGGGAATAGTTATGTTCCATTGAATACAATTTAAAATTGATTATAGTAAATATAATAGTTCGACATGACCCTTTAAAGTATACGTATAAGTTGTACTTTCACTTATGTGCGAAATCCCTCTAATATCAAAAGCTATTCACTTTTGATGAATGTGAATGTGATATGTAAGTGAACAACAGTGGATGTGTTCGTGAACAATTCTAGACGATGTTAGTGAACATAGGTGAACATTTTGTGAACAATGCAAGTGAACATTTATGAACAATGCTAATGAGCATCAGTAAATATTTTGTGAACAGTGGTAGTGAACATCTGTAAACATTTGAACAATACCATCAGTGAACATATGTAAAAAAAATTGTGAACAATGCTAGTAAACATTTGTGAACATAAGTGAACAATGCTAGTGAATATCTGTGAATATTTGTGAACAATGCTAGTGAAATTCTGGGAACATTTGTGAACAATATTTTCTACAAACAAGTTTTGAAAGCATTCAATAGCTGTAAAGATCTTGATGAAATAAAAAATCTGAAACACCATGAAATAGTCCAGCAAACCATATGGAATAACAGATTATTTCAATTAAAAGGCAAACCACTTTTCTTTAAATCTTGGATAGATAGTGGTATTACTTATGTCAAAGATCTTATCATTCGAAATGATTTTTTAAATGTAAACTATATTCTAGAAAAATTGAGGAATAAAATAAATTGGATTTCAGAATATTTTCAAGTCTCAATTGCAATGAAATCAATAAAAAAATCATTAACATAGAACAAGCAAACTTCACAAATATATCAAGAAAACTCAATTTCAAAGTAAAAAATGTTCAATTAGATTTTAGAGGCCAAAAATCCAATTTCTTTTATAACATATTGAAGAATAAAAAATCTGAAAAATGGTTTGTCTCAAAAAAATGGGAAAAAGATTTCTGTATAACAAATCAATGTAAAATAGATGAAATAAATTGGCAGAATTTTTTGTTAGCAAGATCATCAAAATTAAAGACAAAAAAGTTGCCAATTTTAATTTCAAACTAATTAATAACATACTTCCTGGGTTAACTGACTTATTTATCTATGGTATAACAAATTATTATCATTGTAGTATTTGCAATCACTTATGTGATTTGAAACATATTCTTTTTGAATGTTGTTTGTCAAAGGATATATGGAAATTTATATACAACACATGTGGTCTCAATATTTCGTATAGAAAAATAATAATTGCTTATAATGGCCAAGTATAGTTGCTTACAGCATTTACAAATCCTACATTTTAGAACTGAATAGTAAAGAACGAAGAACATTTGAAAAGATACTTTTTATGTTAAAATATGAAATTAATTGTAGAAAAAATGTGTATTATTGTTCCAAATGGAATTTATTATCCAAACTACTGCAATGAGATTATGTAAACCTGTTTTTATAAATCATGTACTGTCTATATATTTAGTAAATGAATGAAATAAAGACTATTTTAAAAGAAAAAAACAACAATGCTAGTGAACCTTTGTGAACAATGCTAGTGAACCTTTGTGAACAATGCTAGTGAACAATGTTAGTGAACATCTGTAAACATTTGTGAACAATGCTATTGAACATATGTGAACATTAGTGATCAATACTAGTGAACATTTGTGAACATTAGTGAACAATGCTAGTGAACATCTGTGAACAATGCTAGTGAACATCTGTGAACAATGCTAGTGAACATCTGTGAACAATGCTAGTGAACATCTGTGAACAATGCTATTGAACATATGTGAACATTTGTGAACAATGCTAGTTAACAATGCTAGTTAACATTAGTGAAAAATGCTAGTGAACATTTGTGAACAATGCTATTGAACATATGTGGATATAAGTGAACAATGCTAGTGAACATTAGTGAACAATGCTAGTGAACATTTGTGAACAATGCTATTGAACATATGTGAACATTTGTGAACAATGCTCGTGAACATTAGTGAATAATGCTTGTAAACATATGTGAACATTTCGTGAACAATGCTATTAAACATATGTGAACATTAGTGAACAATCCTAGTGAACATTTGTGGGCATTAGTGAACATCTAAATGTTTGTTTCTAAATTATTGTTATTAAAATTTATTGTTAATCAGTGATTTTTTCTCTGCAAGGCCTACATATTCACATGATTACCTAATAGTATACGAAAAACTAAGTTTTTGAAAATTACCACTCAAAAGTTATGAAGACTTAAACTTCAACTTCTGATTTCTCAATATCAGCGAAAATGCAATTGTAACAATGTGGAAATAATGAGACGATAAGTGTGCTATTTAGATTTTGTTAATTCTTTCAAATAGGAGCCGAGCAGATTCAACAAAACTGCGAAATGTTTAGGTAGGTAATTCATAATTGCAACCGTATTAGTTTTTCACAATTTAAAATATTTTATTTATATATAAGATTTATACCTAATTAAATGTTACAGAGATATTGGAATGTTCACATATTCTAAGGGCATGTCTAATAAGATTCATATGCAATCGAACGCCTTACAATTCTTTCTTGCCGTTACGGCTCTGGCTATCATCATATTTTCTGATGAATATTTTTTCTTTGACATGACTGCATTTTAAGACAATGATAACGAATTTTCTCAAATATTAATGAATTCGACCAGGTCTTGGTGGTTATTTTATTAGCAACTGGGCAATACCTTCAAACCTAGATTTAATTGCTTTTATTAGATCGCTATTAATTCTATATTGTAAGATTTTGATCCAGGTTGACACAACAGAAATTGTAAACACTGGAGATCATGGTAATATGGCGGAATTGTATTTCCATATATTTCATAAAAATAAATATGTTTAACGTTCCTAGTCTCTACTGGTCAAACTCTTTGTTTTAGTAGCCGTTGCACTGATATATCATCTTAGTCAAAAAAGAGAACGAATGAGTATAAGAGGTAGATACAAAATAACACGTATACAATTCTAATTAGTGAATTTTATATTCTGTGGTCTCATTAAACACTTATTTCGTTTTGAATGGCCTTAAACCCTGGTCCGCGAAACGAAGATTAAAATAAGGGATTCACACCCGGTTGTGACTGCCTTCGACTCGTTCTCCATGATCCCGCTGATCGAATTGCGATGTAGTAAAATTAAGCATTTATATGTTTGCAAGGAAATGAATTGCGCCAAATCGGAATCCGTGACTCTATGAGTTACTGTACATGTTTTCCAGATGCTGAGCAGGAAACAAAGACTGGTAGACTACAACTTGTCAAAATGCAATTTTACTCCAAGTCAGGCTATGCAAGAAGAACGTACAAATCCACCTAGAATACATGTACCAGCAGACTTTTACGAAATTGGGTTTTCTGATCCAAGCGATGAACATTTCGTAAGTTTGTTTATGGCATGGATCATTATTTACTAAGTGATGAGATTATATTAGTATATTAAAGCCAGTGCCAGGGCTAGAGTTTGGGTTGGGGTTATACTCGTATCCAGGATCAGGATTAAAACCAGCAAGGGCTAGAGTGAAAACTAGTATGATTGGTTGTTAGCTAAATCAACCTCAAAATGACGGGTTAATTTATGAAAATTATTAGGTTAACTGGTAGCTGACAGCTGGTATAGAATACAAGCTAAGTTAGGAATTTGACTGGCATTGTTTACTGAGTCAGGAACTGATTTAGATTTACTATCTTGAAGATGAGATCGTTGTTTTACCAGCGTGCTTGTCTTCAACTAAAGTGGTCATTTTTCTGATTCCAGGTTGAACACGTGAGGTTGAACTGGATCCATCCCCCAAGCGCAAACATACCTAAAATGAAAGAACCGATTGACCACCATTTTTCACAAGTGGGGCAGAGTAAATACATCGACAATCTTCTAAAAGGAAAAACAAATGGGTTTTTCATAGAATGCGGGGCTCATAATGGGAAATCATTATCGAATTCTTTATATTTTGAACGATATAGGAATTGGACTGGATTACTGGTAGAGCCCAATAAAAAGGCATTTCAAGAACTTTTGAATCTTAAACGAAAAGCACATGCCGCTAATGTTTTACTCTGTCCAGATAACACAACCAGGAAAATCAACTTTGTTGATTCCAATTTTCTTTCTGGCATGAAAGAACACGTTCATCTTCGTTCTGACAGCATTGCAAAAAGTAAAAAATATCCTGTCCAATGTTTTACACTTTATACACTCCTTTTAGCGGTAGGGGTTACAAGGGTGGATTATTTCAGTTTAGACGTAGAAGGAGCCGAGATATCCATTTTAAAAACGATTCCCTTTGATAAAATCTACATTAAGTCTCTGACAGTTGAGTACAAGTTTAACGATGGTCATGCAATAGACAAAGAAAAATCGCATAAGAATTTAAAAGTGATTCGTGATTTTTTCGAGAAACTCGGCTTTTACAGAGAAGTAAAACTCAATGGCCTTGATGTAATATTTGAACGAATTGATTAATTATTTGTAAGCTCGAACAAATATCACTCAGAGTGTTAAAATACAGTTTTATGATATTGGAGCCAATTGTTCTTTAATCACTGGTACTCACCGGGTTTCGTTTTCGGTAAGATATTTTTATTTCTCGATTTTACACCATTTGTAAGTCAAGTTATGGACAATACTTTGGCTCAAAGTTGAGGAAGATAGTCTAGTTTGAGAATATGCAGGCGGTTCTATGTTTGGTATATTAACGAAGACGCAATTCAACAATTCCAAAAGTTCATTTTAACATGATATTGGTGATATAAAGTCAGCACATGTCTGTTTTTCATAGCATAGCACAGCACAGGATATCATAGCAGCAAAGCATATCATAGCATTGTACTGCACTGAATAGCATAACATTGCATTGTATTGTATTGCACTGCATTGTATTATATTGCACCACATTGTATTTTATTGTACTGTATTGCACTGCATTATATTATATTGCATTGTATTGTATTGCACTGCATTGTATTGTACTGCAGTGCACTACATTGTATTGCATTGTATTACATTACACTGCACCACATTGTATTGCATTGTATTGTATTGCACTGTATTGAATTACACTGCATTACATTGCACTGCACCGCATTCTATTGCACTGCATTTTATTACACTGCATTGTATTTTATGGCACTGCATTGCACTACATTGTATTGCATTGTGTGGTATTGCACTGCACCAAATTGTATTGCACTGCACCAAATTGTATTGCACTGCATTGTATTGCAATACACTACATTGTATTGCACTGTACTACTTTGTTTTGCATTATATTGCACTGTATTTTATTGCATCGTATTACACTGCATTGTATTGTATTATATTGCACTACATTGTATTGTATCATATTGTACTGCATTGTATTGCATCATATTGCACTGCTTTGTATCGCATCATATTGCACTACATTGTATTGCATCATCATATTGCACCGCATTGTATTGCATCATATTGATCGGCATTGTATTGCATCATATTGCACTACATTGTATTGCATCATCATATTGCACTACATTGTATTGCATCATCATATTGCACTACATTGTATTGCATCATCATATTGCACTACATTGTATTGCATCATCATATTGCATCATCATATTGCACTGCATTGTATTGCATCATATTGATCTGTATTGTATTGCATCATATTGCACTGCATTGTATTGCATCATATTGCTCTGCATTGTATTGCATCATATTGCACCGCATTGTTTTGCATCATATTGCACTGCATTATATTGCACTGCATTGTATTGCATTATATTCCGTATTTACCATTTCAGTTACGGTTTTATTACATAAACTTATAACTTTATAAGATTACAATTTTCAAACATTGAAAAATGTTTTATATTGTTTTATACAACATCACTTAAAAGATATGAAATGGCCCAAAATAATATTCTTTCAATGGAACCCTTTGCAATGGACACTTCTCTTTGTGACAGTCGGTAATATGGATTGTCACCCCTACAACAATACAACACTTATAAATTGATGTGCGTTCAATAGCACTAAGCTTGTTAATATTCCCTGAATGATATTTGAAGTTAACTCAAATATCCGTTTATCACTTCGAAAAAGGCAACATTCATTAGGTTCAATGTTATCTAGTATGAGTGAGTGTTCTGATTTGACTAGCTATGCATGAATTATTTTTTAGTCAATAAGATAATTTCATAAGTGGGGATGGGGGCGAATCTTTCTATTTGTTGTCAACAATAAATTACACAGAGCAAATCAACACTGACGACATCTATCATTTATCAAAACGTTATTCCTCGTAAATGAATTCTGATAGATATGACGCATGCCTCAATGACTCCTATGATGAAAAAAGGAATCATAATATCATATCAGTGCCCAACTTACTAGTATATTGCTGGACATTTATCATCAACAAAACACATTCAATTTTAGTACCACTGCCAAAATAAACTCAACTGAATATTTAACTGTTTCGACATGGAATGCCAATGGCTACAATGCTAATAGTCCCTATTTACATTCATTACTTGACATTTATGTGCGTTTGAGCGCAGCGATGTAAGCGCAGCGATGTAAGCGACATATTCTCTTCATTTATCTGAATAAACCATTCTCAAGATAGTAGTACTGCACACATACACAAGACACCTGAATAAACCATTCTCAAGATAGTAGTACTGCACGCATACACACCAGACATCTCTCAATTTATTGATATTATAGGCGTTCATAGTATGAATGACGCAAATACATAATTCACCATTTTGTTTCATATTTGTTCAAAAATGGCGGCATCCATGTTTTGTTGATTTGAATGTTCCGTTTGAAGTTTGTTTAAGAAATGTCATAGGCCTACAAATCATGTAGATTGCTACGATGGTATGATGTAATGACTGCATTTATAACCATTTGTTTTAAATTGTCTTGTATATACTATTAATATACCAATATTACTTAAAAAGGTTTGTACATCGTATTTGGGGTTTGTAGAAAAAAACGAATAGAAGCTTCAAATAAAAAGCATTTTAAGGCTCTTTTCTTCCTCTATCATCATGGTCATATTTTCATTGGTTATGGGGGGGGGTGTGATCGCACCATCGCACCCTCTCCTGGCTACGCCTATGACATTGTAAGACGTAACAATTTACACTTCAGTGGACGTTTCGTTGAAAATTGGGATAACTTAAATTATGATTAATAATCGAAATCTTACACGTTGCATCATGTAAATTTACACACGTCACCTCTCTGCTAAAGTGACGATAGCTATTTACAGATTTTAATCATAATCAAAACAATTCATGTACCAACATACGAACTATTAAATATAGAGTAAGATTGATTTGTCATATTTTTCAAATCGTCTTACAATGTCATAGGCGTAGCAAGGAGGGGTTCGATGGTGCGATCGCACCCAAGGAAGTTACATACATTTTTGTAAATTCAAAACAAATCTTACACGTTTTCTAATGATCTTATTATGTTATATATTCGTATTTTTCGTTTTTTGGGTACCCAGTTTTTTCGACCGGGTACCAAGTTTGAACCCAGTATGGAGGATTTACTACCTGGTACCTGTTTTTTTCTACAAACCCAGTTTTTTGGCCATTTCATTGTTACTCGTAGTGGATTTGAGCAACCCTAGTTCGTTTAACCTGTGCAACTATAGGGTCATACTGCCACAATTTATAATGTCTTTCCCAGTCACTCGCATCATTGGCATGCATGTGAATTGTTCTTGAATTTGTAAGGAACTCTTGAAAATATTGAGGACCTACTCTCATCACACCTCGCAGATTGGAGCGCCACCTTTCCACATCCTCTTAAGCACAACCCCAAACATTTCAATAGAGTTGATTTTATATATCTTCGGAGGGAGTTGACTTCTTGTATTTGATGATTGGTCAGTTGCTGAATTACATCAGGATTGTAACGGTGGCAGCATGAACCTATAGGCCTATGACAATCTTTAAATATCAACTTTCAACTGAACATTCAAATTCACATTCAAAGTATTTTTGTAAGTCAGAATTTTACTCTAGTTTTCAAATATGTGATCTGACTTTGATAATACTGAAAATTAAAAAAGTTATTAAAGAAAAGGTGACCATTGTACAATTATGTCCGTGCTGCTATAGACTGCATCACTAGGATATACAGGGTGGTCGAAGAAAGTAAACCCTTGCAACAAGCCATTTCTCACTTATTACTCGTATTAATGGGCTGAACGCCTCACATGTTTCAGAGGAAGTTTTAGACCATAAAGGTCACTTAGTCTTAGGTCTTACATTAATGGCTACAATAGACATGGCTGATTATGTTTGATGAGCTCAATCAATGCTCCGCATTTCTGGAGAACTACTGCAACGTGAATGGTGAAGTTGTTCACTGCTCATTCCAGCATATCCAAGGATGTTTTGAAATTCTAAAGCATTTTCTTTGTTGTAAGGAAAAAGTGTTGTACACCCCTAATACGATCCACATGAAGTCTACTTGGATATGTGTGGCAATCAACGTACATTCAACATGGAATTCACACTATTTTCACTTGAATTTGATCCACATGGATCCACGTTATTGTCACACATCTCACCTTTGTTATTTCGCAAGGATTCTATGTGAATAAACAGGGCAAAACTTTCAAAATTCCGATTGTATCAACATGCCTTAAACATAAATCCATCTGATTTTCACATGGAATCCATGTGGATCCTCGCGACAATGGTTGCACGTGGATATGGATTGGCTGTGCATCTAATGTTTTTTGAGTAGTAAACAACTTCAACATTCGCATTACAGCATTAATCAAGGAACAATTCAGCACATCACTCATTAATTAGGCACGTAACTTCTGCAAGACTTAAGATTGAGTGACCTTTATGGTTCACACGAGAATGTTAGACCTACCTCTAAAATATGTGAGAATATTAGCCCATGAATGCAAGTGATAATTGAGATACAGTGTATACAGGTAGCTTGTTGCAAACTTACACATTTTGTACCACCCTGTAAAAATCTTGAAGTATTGACTTATATGGGAGTTCTGTGATTTTTTACATTCTAGGTAAGTACATGTAGGCATATTTATATTAGTATTCTTTCACCAATTTGTGTCATTTGATTTACAAATGTTTGCTACTTTTCACATTGTCTAACTGTTATGGAAATGGAAATTACTTGAATACATTAAATACTTTATCGTTTTGCAGAACCAAAGCAGCTTATCTAATTTCTAGATACAATTGCACTGCAAAATGCATGATGCCGAGAAACATTTATATAAAATGGGTATTACTGAGTCATACTTATTACTGGTGATCCACTCGATTACGCTGGTTACAGAAACGGTTCGTTTCGGAGGAACATCGAAGGTACGGTTTTTCTTATTTCACGCGTTGAAGGCAAAATTCCCACGACATTTTATCACAAACGTGTATCAGTATCATATGTTTAAGAAAAGGTACATATTTGCGAACAAATAGTTCAGAAGACAACAGAATCTTCATTTAATTCGTTACTGATGTTACATAAAAGGTATTTCGAAAAACAGTTAAGATCTGCACTTTTAACCCATACCATTTTGAAATTTAGCTGCCATCTTGAAAATCTATTCTCGAGCAGAGCTCCTATGTCCCTAGGCACCAGCATGTAAAAATTTGAACCAAATCCATGGTATTTGAGTTATCATAGATAACGTTTTTTACGAAAAATAAATGGTATTTGTATTATATTTAGTATTGTAACTGAAATTATTTGAGTTATCAAGAATTTTTCCGAAACAATGGCCGCCATTTTGAAAATATTTAAAATTCATTTTTGAGGTGCATATAATAAAATGTAATACATGTATGTATGCTTGTGTTTATTTGCTGACAACATGCTGTAACATCAAAGCCTTAACCAGCTCTCGTGTAAAAGATTTTGGGCCTACTTATGTCACCATATGTTATCCAAGGAAAGCAAAATAGGTAGGTCCATATTTTTAGGCGATATAACGAGCCCCCTGGATACAAGCCTGTAACATAAACCCCTCCTTGAAATATAGCTACGGATATGTGTGTTCAGAATAATACACTTTTACAATGTAAAGCAAATATGAGTCTGATGAACATATCAGTAATACCTGAGACATTTTATGTTAGTCTCAGGTAATACAACCCCTCTTAGAATTTGTTTTCCAATTGGTTAATTTCTTCAAATTAAATCCTTTTCATCTAAAATATCGTTTTCGATGATACGAGGCACATTCTGTCTCACGTAATTCCAATGGAATTATTGTGGGAATTAATACCCAAGACATTTTATGTTAGTCTCAGGTAATACAACCCCTCTTAGAATTTATTTTTCAATTGGTTGATTTCTTCAAATTAAATCCTTTACATCTAAAATATTGTTTTTGATGATATGAGGCACATTCTGTCTCTCACGAAATTCCAATGAAATTATTGTGGGAATTAACGAAACAGGATTGGCATGAAATAAGATATAAACGTCTAGTTTAGGATTATCACTGCATTTGATTGTCTGTCTCGTATTTTATAGGTGCGCATGCGCTAATGTAGTTATGCTTAACACTGTAGTTTGTCCATAGCAAATTGATGTCTTCTTTTTTGGATACATGCTTTGGCTTTTGGTCCACATGTGCCTTGATATTTATCGACATGTGTAAGAATGCACGCCATCTTTACATTGCAGACCAGGTGGACACGTGACATTGATGCAGTCGTCATCATCTAAAAAACGAAATCATTTGTCTATTATCTGAAAATGGCGTTAAGGACTGTCGATAGTTGGCAGATAATTCTGTAAGGTTAACTGTATAGTAGTACTTCAACTAATATGTGCAAATTTTAAGGATTCTCCCAAAAGAGGAGGCAAAGCCCTATAGTTAGAGTTCATTAATGACCTCAACTGAATGGAAATTTATGTAGAAAATGAGTCTCGTCGCTGATTGGTCAAATAACGTAGGATCTGATGAAAACAAAATGGCGGATTCAATATTTTGTAAAAACGCTTCGAATAATATAGTGTTAATTTCTGGCGTAGTCACAAATACTATGAGAGATAATTTAAAGTGGCTAGCGTCTTATTCTCCCAAGACGAATTTTAAATTTTGTTAAAGAATCATAAGCTTTATTTTGTTAAAGATATTATTTAGCGCAACAGAGCCATTTAGAGCAATCATGCTAATAGGCTCGGCCATCTACAGTTGATGGATTTAGTCATATGATTTATTATGCAAATAAAAACTATCAAAAACTAAATTAAAAATAAAATGTACCTCGGAAATATAAGCGCAGACCGTTTTTAGGCGAAGGCGTTTGACAATAATGATCATACAACAAGTCAACGCCGAACACGTTTTCTGGCCCATATGTTGTGCTAAATCCGTCCCCACACATGCCGTGGCCCATACTTAGTGACGTCATGCAATCGCAGTTGTCGTCATCGATTTGTAAAGACGCCACACCATGTTCCATACGATAGTGGAAACTATCTTGTGTTGCCTTTGGTGCAGTTCCTAATCAGAAATTAGAATTGCATTACCTGTAGTCAGTTGGATTCCAAAAGAATCAAAACAAGACATACATGTACGTCCCCAACATATTGTAACAAAATTTTGAATTTTTTATTTTTTGATTTAGTGCTGTGTACTCGTTTTTATACATTTATTACACTTGATTTGTGGTTCACATGTGAGATCATTAAGATTGTAACGTGTAATATCGTTTGCAGTACTTTAGTTGTAGTTACAGTGGGGAAATAGCGTTTTCCTGTTATCAAATTAAGATTTAGTTTATGTTGATCGGGCAGTCGATCGGGTAGTTTAAATGGAGGTCACTTTTTGGAATTTACTTCCTGCTTTTTATTCGATCGAATCGAAGTAAAACTAGAGTAAGTAGCGATCAATTACTGTTAGATTTATTAAGTTCCAATTATTATCTTGTTGAAGGATCAATATTGAAGCGGGATATGGCGTCAATAACTTGTTATTTAACTTTGAAATCTTGTCCAAAAAGTGATGACGTCACCAAGCCTATATAAGTATTTCGCCGATGTAAACTCGGCAGATTACAGCAAGCTTCCGACCAGGACAGAGCTCCGTTCGACAATTTTGATTTTGTTGGACTTTGACATTTTCTGTACATGATAACTTGGACTTTTTTGACTGGCACTTGGGAATATTCTTTGACATTTTGTACATTTTGCTGTAGACAATAACTTGGACTTAGAATATTTTCATACTTTGAAATATTCTTTGACTTTGTTCCGCGAGATGTCTACCAGAAGTTGGACTTATAAATTTTATCTGTAGACAAAAACTTGGACTTTGAATATTTCTCTCATACTTTGAAATATTCTTTGACTTTGTTCTGTTGTACCTCTATTTGAAGTTTGACTTAGATAATTTATTGTGAAGCTTCCTCACTGAGGAAGATAATCCATTGGACTTAGCCGGAAGAGGCTACCTGAGGGAGAAGAGGATCCATTGGACTTAGTCGGAAGAGGCTACCTGAGGGAGACGTTCCAGTTGACTTTGTCGAACGGACTCACTGAGGCTGGGTCTTTATTTCAGCGACTTTGTCGAACAGACTTTCTGAGGAAGGTGATCCACTGGACTTAGCCGGAGGAGGCTACCTGAGGGAGAAGACGTTCCATTGGACTTAGCCAGAGGAGGCTACCTGAGGGAGAAGAGGATTCACTGGACTTAGCCGGAAGAGGCTACCTGAGGGAGACGTTCCAGTTGACTTTGTCGAATGGACTCACTGAGGCTGGGTCTTTATTTCAGCGACTTTGTCGAACGGACTTCCTGAGGAAGGTGATCCACTAGACTTAGCCGGAGGAGGCTACCTGAGGGAGAAGAGGATCCACTGGACTTAGCCGGAGGAGGCTACCTGAGGGAGAAGACGATCCATTGGACTTAGCCGGAGGAGGCTACCCAAGGGAGTTGCCGTTCCATTGGACTTAGTCGGAGGAGGCTACCTGAGGGAGAAGAGGATCCACTGGACTTAGCCAGAAGAGGCTACCTGAGGGAGACGTTCCAGTTGACTTTGTCGAACGGACTCACTGAGGCTGGGTCTTTATTTCAGCGACTTTGTCGAACGGACTTCCTGAGGAAGGTGATCCATTGGACTTAGCCGGAGGAGGCTACCTGAGGGAGAAGAGGATCCACTGGACTTAGCCAGAGGAGGCTACCTGAGGGAGAAGAGGATCCACTGGACTTAGCCGGAGGAGCCTACCTGAGGGAGAAGAGGATCCACTGGACTTGGCCGGAAGAGACTACCTGAGGGAGACGTTCCAGTTGACTTTGTCGAACGGACTCACTGAGGCTGGGTCTTTATTTCAGCGACTTCGCGAATGGACTTCCTGAGGAAAGTGATCCATTGGATTTAGCCGGAGGAGGCTACTTGAGGGAGAAGAGGATCCACTGGACTTAGCCAGAGGAGGCTACCTGAGGGAGAAGACGTTCCATTGGACTTAGCCAGAAGAGGCTACCTGAGGGAGAAGACGTTCCAGTTGACTTTGTCGAACGGACTCCGTGAGGCTGGGTCTTTATTTCAGCGACTTTGTCGAACGGACTTCCTGAGGAAGGTTTTTTTTTTCTTTTAAAATAGTCTTTATTCAACTTTTGGTTATTTTACATAACATAAACAATGACATAAAGTAGATAATTCATACAATTTTCATTTTAATAGTTTTGATACAAAATTCCACTTTGAACAATAAAATACATTTTTTCTGTAATTAATTTCATATTTTATCAATGAAATCATGCTTTCAAATGTTCTTTGTTTTTTACTATTCAATTCTAAAATATATGATTTATAAATACTGTTTGTAACAATGCTGATAAAATAATTTAAAAAATGTGTATGTGAGTCATGGCCATTATAACCAATTATAATTTTTCTGTAAGAAATATTAAGGCCACATGTTTTATGTATCAGTGCCCATATATCTTTTGCTAAGGAACATTCAAAAATAATATGTTTCAAGTCACATAAATTATTGCAAATACTACAATGATAATTATCTGTTATCCCATAGAGAAATAAGTCAGTTAATCCAGGAAGAATATTGTTAATTATTTTGAAGTTAAAATTGGCAATTTTTTTGTCTTTAACTTTTATTATCTTGCTAGTAAAAAAATTTGGCCAATTTATTTCATCTATTTTACCTTCATTTGTTATACAAAAATCTCTTTCCCATTTCTTGTAGGTAAGCCATTTTTCAGATTTTTTATTTTTCAGTATTGTATAAAAGAAATTGGATTTTTTACCTCTAAAGTCTAATTGGATGTTTTTTACTTTAAAGTTGGGTTTTCTTGGTATATTTGTGAATTTTACTTGTTCTATATTAATAAAGCATTTTATTGATTTCATTACAGTTAGGACTTGAAAATATTCAGAAATCCAATTTTTTTTTTTTTAACTTTTCAAAAATATAGTTAACATTTAAAAATTCATTTTGAGTTATGAGATCTTTGACATAGATAATATCACTATCTATCCAAGATTTGAAGAAAAGTGGTTTGCCTTTCAATTGAAATAATCTGTTATTCCATATGGTTTGTTGGATTATTTCATGGTGTTTTAATTTATTGATTATATCATGGTCTTTACAACTATTATATGCTTTTAGAACTTGTTTATAGAACACAGGCAGTCTATCAAGATGCTCATTAGAGGAAGGTGATCCATTGGACTTAGCCGGAGGAGGCTACCTGAGGGAGAAGAGGATCCACTGGACTTAGCCGGAGGGGGCTACCTGAGGGAGAAGACGATCCACTGGACTTAACCGGAGGAGGCTACCTGAGGGAGAGGCCATTCAATTGGACTTAGCTGGAGGAGGCTACTTGAGGGAGAAGACGATTCATTGGACTTAGCCGGAGGAGGCTACCTCAGGGAGAAGAGGATCCACTGGATTTAGCCGGAAGAGGCTATCTGAGGGAGAAGACGTTCCAGTTTACTTTGTCGAATGGACTCCCTGAGGCTGGGTCTTTATTTTAGCGACTTTGTCGAACGGACTTCCTGAGGAAGGTGATCCATTGGACTTAGCCGGAGGAGGCTACCTGAGGGAAAAGAGGATCAACTGGACTTAGCCGGAGGAGGCTACCTTAGGGAGAAGACGATCCACTGGACTTAGCCAGAGGAGGCTACCTGAGGGAGAGGCCGCTCCATTGGACTTAGCCGGAGGAGGCTACTTGAGGGAGAAGACGATCCATTGGACTTAGCCGGAGGAGGCTACCTGAGGGAGAAGACGATCCATTGGACTTAGCCAGAGGAGGCTACTTGAGGGAGAAGATGATCCATTGGACTTAGCCGGAGGAGGCTACCTGAGGGAGAAGACGATCCACTGGACTTAGCCGGAGGAGGCTACCTGAGGGAGAGGCTGTTCCATTGGACTTAGCCGGAGGAGGCTACTTGAGGGAGAAAACGATCTATTGGACTTAGCCGGAGTAGGCTATCTGAGGGAGAAGAGGATCCACTGGACTTAGCCGGAAGAGGCTACCTGAGGGAGAAGATGTTCCAGTTGACTTTGTCGAACGGACTCCCTGAGGCTGGGTCTTCATTTCAGCGACTTTATCTAACGGACTTCCTGAGGAAGGTGATCCATTAGACTTAGCCTGAGGTGGCTACCTGAGGGAGAAGAGGATCCACTGGACTTAGCCGGAGGAGGCTACCTGAGGGAGAAGACAATCCATTTGAATTATTACTGAACGAGACAAGATGCTTGTCCTTGTATGGAACTGGATGTTCCTTTCATCGCTTTGATTGTGGGCAGTATATCATTTGTACTCCTTTGTTTGATGTTTATAATTTGCACTCGTGTTTGCATTACCACTACGGATGAAGAATCTAATGATCAATCTGCTCCAGTACCAACTAGACAGATTCCAGTGTTGCAGTCATCGCTTGGCTTGAGCCTGAGTACTATCAGTTATCACACGTTTCAGCATGTGATACAGGAAATATTCCACGAAAGGTAATACTGTATCATCCACGAAAGCGAAGCTTGAGTGGTGATACATTGTTACCCGAGTGGAATATTTCCTGTATCACATAAGCTGAAACGTGTGATGACGATTTTATCACATGTCTAGGAATTTTGAATCATTTTGATTTGGTCAGTTATGATTGTGTTCAGTACTTCTGGTAACTACTATAATTTTTGATTTCGCTTTGAAACAATATGACGTCATACCGTTGTATTCGTACTTGTTCGTGAAATAGTATGACGTCATATTATTTTCCTTAGCTAGAAGTGATATAATCAGTGACGTCACATCGTTGCTATTGATCATCACTGGTTGCCTCTAGTAACGTGTGAGACGGCCGTGTGAGACGGGAAAACTCACACGGTAATCAACCAATCAGATTACTGGAATTTTACAGAGCTATATGGTGGAACATTGGGGGTCACTGTATAGCTTCTGGAGGCCATCGTATAGCTTATGGAGGCCATCGTATAGCTTATGGGGGCTACCGTATAGTTTCTATGGGCCCTTGCATAGCTTCCGGGGGCCATCTTATAGCTTCTGGGAGCCACTGAGGGCCCCTGTATAGCTTCTGGGGGGCTATAGTACAGTTTCTGCAGGCCCTTGCATAGCTTCTGGGGGCCATCGTATAGCTTCTGGGAGCCACTGTGGGCCCCCTGTATAGCTTCTGGGGGCCACTATATAGCTTTTGGGGCCACTGAGGGCCACCATGTAGCTTCTAGGGGCTACTGGGGGGCCCTTTATAGCTTCTGGGAGCCATTGGGGGCCACCATATAGTTTCTGGGGGCCATTGTGTAGCTTCTGGGAACCAACATGTAGCTCCTGAGGGTCACTATTTAGCTTCTGGGGGCCATCATATAGCCTATGAGGGCCACCGTATAGCTTCCAGGGGCTACTGGGGGCCCTTCACATCTTCTGAGAGCCATTGGGGGTCATCATATAGATTCTTGGGGCCATCATGTAGCTTTTTGGGGCTCCTGTATAGCTTCTGGGGGCCATCGTTTAGCTTCTTGGGGCCACTGGGGTCCCCTATATAGCTTCTGGGAGCCACCGTATAGCTCCCGGGGGCCACTAATTAGCTTCTGGAGGCCATCATATAGCTTCCGAGGGCAACTGGGGGCCACCATATAGCTTCTGGATACCATAGTATAGTTTCTGGGGGCCCTTGTATAGCTTCTGGGGGCCATAGTATAGCTTCTGGGGGCCCCCGTGTAGCTTCTGGGGGCCACCGTATAGCTTTTTGGGGCCACTGGAGGGCCCTGTATAGCTTCTGGGCGCCACCGTATAGCGCCTGGGGGCCACAGGGTTTCCTGTATAGCTTCTGGGAGCCACCGTATAGCTCCTGGGGGCCACTATTCAGCTTCTTGGGGCCAACATATAGCTTCTGGGGAGCACAGTATAGCTTCTTGGGGCCACTTGGGGCCCCTGTATAGATTCTTGGGGCCACTGGGGGCCATCATATAGCTTCTGGGGGCTTCTGGAACCTAATAATTAATGTATTTTGCCAGGTTTCACCAAAATCTTCAAATATGGGGGTTGTCGGGTGGGGGGGGTAAATTAATTAAGTTATCATTCTTCTAAACAAATTCATGCGACTATTTATCTCTAAAGCAAAGGAACAATAACTTTCTTTTAACTCATTAAGAACGTGAAATGTAAAAAACCTCATTATCAAGTGATGTTACCATAGCATCTGAAATGTTAAAAATATTACATAAACCATATGATGAATCATCTTCACTTCTAATCATGCTATATACTTCAGATGCTTTAAGAATCAAGAATATGATGAAAATCAGACTATGTGTATACTATTTATATGAATCATTGAAAGTGCATGGTAAATTATAAGATTGGATCTTTAATATACAGGGTCGAGATAACCGTTTTGACCCCTGTGAATGATAGTCAAAATGCATGTAACCTTTCCACATACTTATTAGTTCAGTTCAATACATGCACATTTTTACTCAATAAGATCGAAACAACTATGGTTGTTACTTTTTTGTTAATTTAATATTCTTTTTATAATTGTCAAACAATGACGTTCACAGTAGCTGCCTCCAAAGCTGGATAATTTTGTTTATTCTGATCCAAATTTGAAGCTTCGTTGTCTCTTTAATGTTGCTTATATCTTCCACTCATCAAATAAGGTACAAAACTATGCACACATACATTCTGTCATACGGCCTCAGTTCTAATAGATATGTTGCTATACTACGATATTCTGAACCAAAAATTGGATTGATGACGTCACAATTAATGCAAATTAGCTAATTTGCATAACTGAATATTGTAACCATATAGTAAATTTAATAAGGTTTAATCAGATACCAATATCATCTCTATAGACCAAATAATGACGAAGCTACATTGATTCAAGACTCCAAGGTAAGATGTATGTATATTATTGTCAAATAATGACATTCACGATAGCTGCCTCGAAAGTTACATAACTTTCGTAATACTGATTCAATTTTGAATCTGTTTTCACTTTTATTTTGCTTATACCTTCTACTAATAGAATAAAGGACAAAACCTTTCAGAAATTTTGCCATACGGCCTCAGTTCTAATAGATACGTTGCTATAGTTGGAAATTCTGAACCAAAAATAGATTGATGACGTCATAATTTATGCAAATTAGATAATTTGCATAATTGAATATCAGAAATTTATTGGAAATTTAACGAGGTCTAATTTGGTACCAATATCATTTCTATAGACCAAATAATGACAGAGTTACAAATGATTTAAGATACCAAGGTAAGATGTCTAAAGATGCGTAACCATGGTAACTGAATGCCGCCATAAAAGTACTATGGGACATTAGTTGGCAATGTTAACAAATGAATTCATTAAATAGACACCCTAGGGATTACAAAAATGTATGTAACTTATTCACACCTTATGGGTGCATGGGAACCCCTTGTTCCTACTATACTATTAGGGTTGTTGCAAATTCACCGACTTCGACAACCCAGTCCCGACACCGACTTGGTTACTGTTAATCGATACAGTAATTCTATGTTTTCAAAATTTATTTTGAAGTACTGCCAATTCTGGAACGCGCCATACGATACAGTTTAAATACTACCGTAAACCATCATAGTAATGATAGTAATTTTAAATGTGGTCTTTATTTACATGTACATTTTTAATATTTATTGACTGCATTGTTCACTAGTGTACTAAATCTAGTATCTAGAAAATCAGCGATGCATACAACCGCAATTCCGTGAAAACCTGAGCATTAGGAGCGAATGAAACGTACTCTCATATAAGCGCTACGGGTTTTAAACGCAATGACAAAACGTTTGGAATATGATTTTTAAAAATAATTTATTTCAGGTGCATTCAACAACGACTCAGAACCACATTCATGTGACATTATTATTTTTCTTCAAGGTTAGTTACGTATTTCATATGAAACAAATCTTACAAGTTGAATCTGTTTATACGTATACTATTACAAACAATGTGAATGAAACACAAGCCTTGGTGAAAAGACATGTTAATACAAGTTTGAAATACTCAATCGGCCGGGCGCCGTAGTAAAAATCTGAGCAAATGTGACCACGGCATTACCTATTATGAATGCCAATATTATTCCTTGTTGTTGATGGCCCTTATGCCTGGGTCACATTTGCTCCGATTCATCGGCCGGCGCCCGGCCGATTGAGTATTTTCGTTTTGTTCAAAATTGTATTCAGTTTTAAATATAATACTTAATCGGCCGGGTGCCTTAGTGAAAATCGGAGCAAATGTGACCAAGGTATTATTCTAATTGCTCCCTTATGCCTACCTCACAAAAGCATCCGAAATCATCGGTCGGCGCACGGCCGATTGAGTATTTTGTTCAGAATTGGATTTATTTATATCGTGATGTCTTTTTTTGGTTTGTGTGCCCAACTGTGAGCTATAGATAGGCATTATCGTGAATACTACAATGGTAGTTCCATTTAAGCCCCAGTCACATTTGCTCTACGGTGGACGTATGGCGGCTGTCGCTTCAAAAACTCGATACAGAAAATCCACATCGTAATTGCTTATCCCGATATTTTGCTTATTTCTCTCGATTTTGGGAAGCTACGGCTGTTGTACGGTTGCCGTAGATCGAATGTGACTGAAGCATTAATAATATATTTACAATTTTTCTTTGTTCGCAATTTATGAAACAGACACATTCCCCTCGACGTTTATGGTTACGCTCCTATTCATGCTAGTCTCCCTCTCTCATGCTCAACGTACATCGGTCTCAAATATGCAGATTAATAGCTGTGATACGTGGCCAATTAGAACTGCATCTTGTATGCCCCTGAAGTCATTTGCTTTAAATCGAGGATGGGAGGATTATTATCTCATCCTAGATTCCCTTTAATTGATAAGTATACATTTTCGAAATTGATTAGAATAAACGTATTAAATGAAAGTAGAAAATGCAAACACTCAACCATTTATTTTGAGTGCGGCGAGTGTATATGGAACGTGTCATTTGTAAATTCAACTGCCGGCTGACAACTTGACGTACTGTTTTATGACCAACTCATACAAATATGAATAGTATTTGCAACTATTCATATTTAAATACAAATATGTTGATGGTCAAATCGTTAGCTGACAATCGAACGCTTTCAAAATCTATTCAAAAGTAATCGTCTCATGTAGGAATCCAAGGCATAAAATGGTCAGGATTGGTGAACTTTTACGTGTTCGTGGATTAAACTTGCTAAAAAACTTGTCTATCATGTTATGATAAACTAAATAAATCTGATAACTAATAATTACATATTTGTGCAAATCTTTTTGATATATTTATATACTTGGTATTAATCTGGAATGATTCATGCTGAAGAAGTCAGTTTATGCTCAACAATAAATTTTGAAAATATTAAATCTTAGTATCGATTTACAATAACCAAGTCGTGTCGGGACTCGGTTGTCGAAGTAGGTGAATTTGCAACAACCCTAATAATCTTTGTAAAAGATACTATCCCGATTTTCAATTTTCGATTTTCTAAAGTTTGCTTTCTTACACTCGGTTTAGTGTAATTTGGGTTTACTTACCGCTCACTACTTTCGGATTCCATGGGTTTCCGTTGGTGACTTTCACATATTCGTGATCGTGGAACGCTCTCCATACCGCATGGGCCACATTGTTTTCAGGGTCAAACTTCCATCTAAAAGTTTTTACTGTTTTTTATTCTTTTTTGGCTCTCACCTTTTGACAATTATGCGTACATCTTTTGAGGTAAAACAACGCTGTTCGATTTATATCGCTGTCTACTGTATACCAATCCTGGTAAATACCGGCGTGTTGATTATTCGAGTACTAACCTGTACACGTTTCCATCGGAATCTACAGCGAGCAACTCAGCTACACGTTCTTGCAGGACTTCTGGCAGGCGACTGAAGCAGTAAGGGGCACCAACATCGCAGTCCCCGTACTTATCTACAAAGAATTCAAAATGAATAAATCTGTCACCTTTTGATTTTAATTTTCTTGAATTTCTTGTAGACGAGTTGAGAGGTATATGAATTGATTTGCTTGTTCTGTTTGTAAAAAATAACCTTTCATTCTGATTGTTTGCTCTCAATGCATGTTATTCTTTTATATAGTATTATAATGGGCACACTAGGGTGGTCCAAAATATGGCGAAAAACCAACTTTCTTTCGGATCATCTTCCTCATTTGACTTACTGTTGTCCATGACCTAAAACACCTGCACACCAAATTTTGAGACCCAAATCCCATGGGAAATTTACCCACGCTTCGACTGAAAAATCGGTTATTTCATGATTTTTTGCTATTTTCGATAAATTGCCATCTCCTTTTTCCTGGTATAAAATGTTTCTATTTTTTCATAATAAACATTTTTGTAGGACTCTTTATTACTTAATAATACTAGGAGCCCAAACACCAAATTTTGAGACCCAAATCCCATGTGAAATTTACCCATGCTTTGACTGAAAAATTGTGATTTTCACAGTTTTGTCCGATTTTCAATAGAATACTGTCTCCATTTTCCCGGTATAATATGTTTCTATTTTTTCATAATAAATATTTTTGGATGACTCTTTATTACTTCATAATATTAGGAACCCATACACCAAATTTTGAGACCCAAATCCCATGGAAAATTTACCCATGGTTTGACTGAAAAATTGTGATTTTCACATTTTTTCCGATTTTCAATAAATTGCTGTCTCCATTTTCCTGGTACGATATGTTTTTAAAATAAACATTTTTGAGGACTCTTTATTACTTCATAATACTAAAAACCCATACACCAAATATCCACCAAATTTTGAGACCCAAATCCAATGAGAACGTTACCCATGCTTTTACTGAAAACTGGTGCTTATGATAGCTTATGATGTCTGTTTTAGGGGCATAATATGTTAATAAACATTATGGTAATTCCTTCTTAATCCAAAGAAACACCTAAATATCAAAACTTTAAGTCTTATTGAAAGGCGACAAATTCAGTAGTTTGGGGAAAATTTAGGATCTTTTACTTGTACATTTATATACTGTGGTTAATATAAGAAGTGATGACTCGACAGCAACTCAAATGCCTTGAAGATTTGGTTTGTTGGTTTCAGTAGGGATACATCACAGGACTTTGTTTGGATTTGTGTGAGATGTCATATTCTTTCTCACATCTTTGCAGGGTAAGGTCAAATATCAAATCTGATTTTCTTTGGAGAAATGATTTTTGATTGATCAATGTATCAATGGCATGGTCTCTGTTGTAACCAGTAAGCCTGTACCAAATCTTCAAGGGATTCGAGCTTCCACTGAGCTTTGTCATTTCTCTGAAAATGTCCATGCCCTGAAAGTACACAATGTAGAAGATAGGAAGAGCAATGAGAAACACTTAAGGTAATTCTGTATGTTCAGAAATTTTAAGTGGAGTCCAATGTTATTTCTGGAACTCATTCCATACTTGGTCAGCTCTTTCAATTTTACACTGAGTTCAAATATGTATTTAGATTATTAGTTGATGGTTAGTATTTTTTCTATAATGTACTATGTGCTATGTTTATACACTGTTTGTGCATCTGAATGGAATGAGTTATGTGTTCCTGAAAAAACACGGGGCTCCAATTAGGAAGCCATTAAAACTGAAAATAAGGAATTACCTTAAAGTGCTATATAACCATCTTTCACGATGTAACGTATGTAAGGCCAAACAGGATAATTAAGACAACGTGTAATACAATTTATTACAAATTGCACATCACACAACAATGATATGGTGCTCTAAACGACAAAAATCAAAAGTATATGATCAAAGCAAACGTGAATTTCCCATGGGGTTCAGGTCTAAACATTTGGTACATATTAAATGTATGGGTTCCTAGTATTAAGAACGTATTAATGTCCTCCTAAAATGTTTAAAAACTAAATATAAGATTAATGTTGATCTATTGAAAATAGGAGAAAATTCGCAGAAAATCACAAATTTTTGGTTGAAGCATGAATTAATTTCTCATGGGGGCCAGGGTTTCAAAATTTGGTGCATATTTGGGGTATGGGTTCCTCGTATTATGAAGTAATAAAGAGTCCTCCCAAAATATTTATTATAAAAATAGAAACATATAATACCAGGAAAATAGAGATGTATTGTATTGTATATGAAATAACCCAATTTTTCAGTCGAAGCGTGGGTAAATTTCCCATGGGATTTGGGTCTCAAAATTTGATGTATGGTATGATATATTTATTATGAAAAGACATCTACCATTTTATACCAGGAAAATGGAGATGGCAATTTATCGAAAATAGCAAAAATCATGAAATAACGGAATTTTTCAGTCGAAGCATGGGTAAATTTCCCATGGGATTTGGGTCTCAACATTTGGTGTATGGGTTCCTAGTATTATGAAGTAATAAAGAGTCCTACAAAAATGTTTATTATGAAAAAATAGAAACATATTATACCAGGAAAAGGGAGATGACAATTTATCGAAAATATCAAAAAATCATGAAATAACCGAATTTTCAGTCGAAGCGTGGGTAAATTTCCCATGTGATTTGGGTCTTAAAATTTGGTGTGCAGGTGTTTTAGGTCATGGACAACAGTAAGTGAAATGAGGAAGATGATCTGAAACAAAGTTGGTTTTTCGCCATATTTTGGACCACCCTAGGGCACACGGTCTTTCCACAATTTGGTTTTGCATATTATGAGATATAGTTCACTTTTTTTTTTTACTTAATATATTTAATATAAATGGTATTAATAAAGTATCTTTAACATTACAATACAACGCAGATGTAAACTTTAAAGAGACTTTAAGTACACCTTGTATATTTACCTTGTAAGACATCGCTGACCAGTGCAGGCCATGTTGAATTCGACTTGAACCACCAAAATAGCTTCCAGCGCACAGCATCATCCACGAAAATCACAGGATAGTCAAATGCTGATAATGTCAAAATGGAATATTTATATGGGATAAAATTTAAAAAGTATGATAAAACAAGTCCTTGAACAAACCAGATATTTTGTTTCTTGTGGTACTTTCACTAGATGATATTCTACAAGCCTTCGAGGCTTCCTGGAAGATTCACGGGCATTCACCTGAATGAAATATTCGTTGAAAGATATAGAGGTTCTTGTATGAGTCAACATACATCGTCCATTCATGATGAGCTTTGATAATACTAGTACTGTCAAGAATGGACGATTTTGCAAAGGTACGAGTAAAAGAAAGTTTTTCTCATATGACTCTTCTATTATGCGATATTTTACCTTTTTATGATAAAACTGAGTGAAAATAGCTTCAAATTAATGGAACTTCATCTTTCAATTGTTATGATGTCATAAAAATATTGTACAAAATACATATATACGCATGGCAACAAGGGTCCATTGATATGACATCACAGCTTATATTTGTAGAATGAGCATAGATACTCATAGCAACAATGCATATGTTGTTATGTTGTTGATGTTTATAAACCAGTGATGTCACAAGTAAATCTTATATCATGTATATTGCATGTGTGACTTTTTAGGATAAAAGATGTCAATATCTTGCATGGGGTAAAGATGGCTGTATCGTTGTTAGTCATATGAGAAATATTGTTGAAGCATCTTGTTCCTTGCAAGGTATCCGAAATTTTTTATATATATTTTTTGATTAATTGAGTGTTATCTTTTATTACTCATGCAATTTTGAATTACCTTCATAATGCGATCGAACAGTATAGCCATGGTGACCGTTCTCCTTTCTTGCGCATGTGCAGTTTGTCATGCGATCAATGGCGTTCTTTAAACCTTCTATAATTGTTAACATCCTATCGGGTTCATCATCTGAGTCAGCGAATCGTGAAAATAAAGAGCAACCATCGTTAAAGATTTGAACTTACTCCCTGACAACAGGACACCACATATCATCCCACAGAAATGGGCAAAATGCAAACTCCCCCCCCCCCCTGTTAGCGAGAAGGTTTCATTGGATACCATATCAAAACCTATTAATGTTTGATATGAATCCCGTCATGTAAATTGAATGATATAATTTTATGAAAATAACTTGCACCGACATTAGCTCAAATGAGCATAGCGAACGAGTATTGATATCGATAGACAAATTGACACAACAGTGCTTTGTATTCAGGTTTGGTAGCCCAAATCCTTCAATGATCTACGCTGAGGCCATATTACTTACATTGAATAAGAGATAAGACTGATTTTTTATTAATGACTGTATACCCGGGCCTCAGGATCTACGCGTTAAAGTCTGAAGTCTGACTATGTTGCTTTATGTTGAAAGGGAATGTACCTGGTGTTTCTTCTCTTGGATAGCCGAGTTCAACATTACATTCTTCCTCAAGGGTCGACAGTGATTCCAGTGTATTCTAGAAAATATAAAATATGTAAAACCACATTACCAATGGAAAGGGAGAGCACCAACGATCCTTCTATAAGGCTATTGTTTAGAGATAGGACAGGATTGAAGTACCTTCAGTTGCTGACAAAAAGTCGCCACCTCAATCGAATTCAAGAAATGGCAAAATGAAGGAAACGTATTTAAACAAAATATTCAGAAAAAGTTTAAAATTGTTATTATTGTAACGGAATTTTAAATGTAAAATTTTTGATTTTTGATAAAGTGCTGTATTTTTGTACATTAGGTAATTATTACACTTGGAAAGTAATTTCCCATTGAGATTATTAAGATTTAGGTTGTACTTACAGAGGTGAAATAGTTCACATGTTTTATTTATTTGATCACGATTTTGTTTATGTTGATCGGGCAGTCTTATCTGGCAGTCTAATTTGTAGTTGATCGGTAGTCTAACATGACAGCTTTATTATTTTACTTCCTGCTTTTGATTCGATGGAATCGAAGTAAAATTAGACTAGATAGTGATTAATTACTGTTATATTTCTTGAGTCCTAATTATAATCTTGCTGTATGATCAATATTGAAGCGAAATATGGCGTAAATAAGCTGTAATTCACAGTTGAAATCTTGTTCGAAAATCGATGACGTCATCGGGCCTATATAAGTATCTCGCTGTTGAAGGCTCGTGAGTGCGATGCCAGATGTTGTCGAGGAAGGACCTCCAGAGCGGAATTTCGGGAAACAGCTAAAATCTTCTAAGTTTTATAGAACTTAGTTGATTTTGTGATGTTGAGGCTATACGTTTGCAGTATACACATGAAGATAGAAGCTGTACCTTAGTAGAATACATCTGATGAGCCAAGCTATACGTTTGCAGTATACAAGGGCAGATTGAAGAAACTAAGTGTGAGAAACTTAGTTTATTTTGGAACTTGGATTTTTGGAAAACACTTTGATGCAACTAAGTGTGTGAAACTTAGTTTATTTATCGCACTGGAAGTAAGGGAGATCTTCAAGACTGGACAGAACTTCAACAGGGTGAAGCTATCCCCAGCGCAAAGCATTAGACGTATTGTCCAGCCTTCATAGACTGAGAGGAAATGCTGACATAACTTGTGTTTGAAAAACAAGCTATTTTGATCATCAAGGAACTTAGACGATTTATAACATTATTGGACTTAGTCAGTATTTGGTGAAACATTATTTTGGACTTTGTTATTTTTGGAGAAAGAAATATTTAACTTAGAATATTTTAACATCAGTATAACTTAGCATGAAATTAACTTAGTCAATATTTGGTGGAAACATTATTTTGGACTTTGTTGTTTTTTGGAAAGAGAAATATTGAACTTAGAATATTTTAATATCAGTATCACTTAACATTAAATGAACTTAGTCATTTTAGAGGTCAAATATTTTCACATGTTATATTTTTGCATATGTCGTTGTGTGCATGCTATATTTGTAGGTAGCCTTATTATTTAATTGTGAAGAAAGCAGGCTACATGGACTTAGCAGTTGATGCCGTGTATTAGACGTTCTGGACTTGGTAGTTTGAAGATTGTGATAGTTTGACTTATACATCTACAGAGAAGAGGTTCTGGGACTTAGCAGTTTATTCAACGAGATATTTTGACTTTGATGATTTTGGGTCATTGAAGTTAGAATATACATCTACAGAGGAGAGGTTCCAGGACTTAGCAGTTTATTCAACGAGATATTTTGACTTTGATGATTTTGTGTCATTGAAGTTAGAATATACATCTACATTGAAGAGGTTCCAGGATTTAGCAGATTATTCAACGAGATATTTTGACTTTGATGATTTTTTGGTCATTGAAGTTAGAATATACATCTACAGAGAGGACGTTCCAGGACTTACCAGATTATCAAGTGAGATATTTTGACTTTGGTGATTTCGCATCATTAAAGTTAGGAAGATACATCTATAGAGAGACGTTATAGGACTTAGCAGATTATCCAGCGAGATATTTTGACTTTGATGATCTTGTGTCATTGAAGTTAGAATATACATCTACATTGAGGAGGATCCAGGTGATAGCCGTTCACAGAGCTGATAGTTTGACTTGGATTATTTCATATAATCAAAGTTGAATTATAATACAACACAGAGAGGAGGATCCAGGAGATAACCATTTACAGAGCCGATAGTTTGACTTAGATTATTTCACATAATCAAAGTTGAATTATACTACAACACATGAGGAGGATCCAGGACTTAGGAGTTTACACAACTGATAGTTTGACTTAGATTATTTCACATAATCAAAGTTGAATTATAATACAACACAGTGAAGAGGATCCAGGAGATAACCATTTACAGAGCCGATAGTTTGACTTAGATTATTTCACATAATCAAAGTTGAATTATACTACAACACATTGAGGAGGATCCAGGACTTAGGAGTTTACACAACTGATAGTTGACTTGATGATTTCACATTATCAAAGCTGAATTATACTACAATACAGTGAAGAGGATCCAGGAGATTTACGTTTACGGAGCAATAGTTTGACTTAGATGATTTCACATCATCAAATTTGAATCATACTACAATACATAGAGGAGGATCCAGGAGATTACTATTTCAGGTTCAAGTTACAAGTACAATACAAGACTTACAAGGGTTACAACATATATGGACTTTTAATATTGGAGATACAACAGTGTATATAGTGATCATTAACTTTAGTTATATGGACTCTGGATATTGTTTCATAAGTGATAATTATTAGCTTATATGGACTTTTGAGTTTTGAGTTTAGAGAGAGATAATAATATCGTAGCATTTTAACCTTCATACTTGACATTTAATGTACATCTTTATTTGGGCTTATAAACGCCACAATATACTGTTTTATATTTATATTTAATTGTATATGTCTGTTTAATTCTTTAGGGACAATCGCACATTTAACGTGTGCCGTGTAACTCACCAAGTAAACACCGTTTACTAAACAGTGGGCCTATTATAAGCCACGCTACCACGTATATCCACAAAAATAGGCCAAACTGTTACATTGGTGGCAGCGGTGTTGGGATTGATTGTGTCTGAAGATTTGAACCAGAGGCACATTATAGCACTTTAAAGATGGATACAGAAGCTCCAAAGTCGATAGAGAGTGGTGATCTCTCTGATACAAATACAGACAAGTCTAAAGATGTAGAGAAGACTGTCTTTGTAAAGTTAGCTACCGACGGTGAGATAGATAATCCCATAGCCAAGGATGACACTCTTCAATATACAGGAAGAAAGGCTATGGAACACATGGCTACAGAACTCCCAGCGATGGAAAAATGGAGGTTGCCAAGTGAGGCAGATCCAGATGAGAGACACCCTACAGTTGGTGGTGCAGAAGCAATCTACCCTAGTGATAAGACTGGGATAGAAACAGAGTTTAAGAAAGCCTGGGGTGGACAGACTACTGGCTATTGGTCACGCACAGTACATGATGGTGTTTATAGTCCACAGAGTCAAGCATGGGGAGCCAGACCCAAAGGAGATAGATATATGCCTCGCACCTCAACAATGATAACTACACCTGCAGAACTTAAACTGGGCACGCAGGAAAGACCAGTTGATAGAGAAATGAAAACACATATACATGTTATGGAAGATGCCATTAATCAGAATGTGACTACCATAAACATGATGGAAGGACAGGTGTCTAACATGGAGGGACACATGTCTCATATAGAAGGACAGGTGGCTAACATGGAAGGACACATGTCTAACATGGGAAGCCAGGTCAACAACATTGGAGATTTAAAACAGATGAAAGACCAGATGAACAATTTATGCCAGACATTACAGATGGTATTGCAAAGTTCAACTTCTCGTCCTGAACCAGTTTTACAGGGTGACGTCAGACCTTCAAGTCCTGTAGTGAAATTAGGAACAAGTGTAGACACCAGAACAATGTTACAGGCTAAGTCCAGTGCGACTCCTCAGAGATTACAGTCTCGAGAAGTTCTTTCTACGTTTAATCCACAGCAAGGAGTGGTAGGGGGGCCTACATTAGTTAATCCAGAATTAACTGCTGATCAACCCAGAATAGTAACTCCCCCAAAGTGGCCACTCAGACGCCAGAAGAGAATTGCTTCTGATGAAGATTTTCCAGGACTGCCAAAGAGACCTGCATTTAAGAGTCCTCCGACAAAAAGGAGAGTTGTAGCTGTAAAGTCAGAAGCTGACTTTAGATCCAGTGAGACAAAGTTTATGGATGTACCAAGTGAAAGAACATTTATGCCCCAACAGACTCAAAGTCAACCTTTCAATGATAGATACCGATCTACATATGATGAACTACAGAATGGGGCTGAAACCAGACATGAAGAAGCTCTGCAGACTAATGCAAATATGACACATTTTACTCCTCAAGAACAGGAAACGGCTGTACCAATGAATGATACAATGCCTTCTGTGATAGCTCAGTTTGCAAAGATGCATGAAGAGACGACTAAATTAGTTGGGAAGGTATTGGAAGAGACAATACCTAAGAGAGCTGCTTCTCAGAGCAAGACAAAGATAAAACCTGACACATACAATGGAACTACACCATGGATTGACTACAAAGCTTATTTTGCCATGTGTGTAAGTGCAAATTCATGGAGCGATGAAGAGAAGAAACAGTTTCTTGCAACTAGCCTTAGGGGTCAAGCGCAACAACTCATCTATGAGATGGACCCTGGCTATACGTATGATGAATTGGTGTCTGCCTTAGATAAAAGGTTTGGCCCAGGAGGTAAAGCAGATGTGTACCAAGCAGAGTGGGTGGGCCGAACACGTAAACCCAAGGAAACACTACAGACTCTTGGTCAAGATGTCAGACGGCTGACATCATTAGCATATCCTGAGTTACCTCGGGCTGCTCAAGATCGTTTGGCTAGGGAACGTTTTGCGCAGGCTATCCCTGATGTTGAGATTAGGCGATCTATTCATAATCATAGCGGAGATTGCAGCACTTTGGACAAAGCCATCGAAATTG